ACACTTTTGGTGCGTAGGGTCGCTCTCGCTGCGGAGCGGGGCGATTTTCTATCACGGAAAGTGCACTTTGCGTGGACTTTGGGTGTGTCAGATCGCTCTCGCTGTGACGCGCGGGGATTTCTGACATCGAAAGCGAGCCATCTGCGGCGGACCTTGGCCGCTGTTCTATTTTGAACGCTGGTCATCGAAGCGAAGATCCCATCTCCTCAAGGGATCTTGCGATTACATCCTTTCTGAGAGCTGGTGTACGTTGTGTTCCAGCAACAGATTGTGCACAGAACCTACCATGGATCTTGCACAAGCTTCTTTCAAACAGAGCCGACTGTCGTTGATCCTGCAAGAAGATCTGGACGGGACCGTAAGACCCTACCGAGTACCTTCAAACGATACCCTCGGAAAAGACCTTGTACAATGCCTCATGAGGAGTTCCTGCGCAGACCTTTCATTTTCCTCTTGGCATCTTTTTTTCAGCTCTCCAAGTTGCTCCCCAGACAAGCCCTGGGGCGGGTTCCATTTCGGATGCTTGCCATGCCATGGAGCCCACACCAGCTTAACTGCTACCCCACATGGAAATTCGACCTTCTGCCAACCCTTCCGCGAAGCTTCCGAGCCATGACCCGTTGCTTCCTCCTTCGGCATGATTCTGTCGCACGCGAGCTTCCGAGCGCACATCTTGGTTCTGGTCGCTTCCCCGGGCGCTGATCTTGGGCCTCATGATACGTGTGAGGCAAACAAACAGACACATTCCCCCAAGCTTCCGCAGGTAAAAAAACTGTAAGGAGAGCCTTGCGCCAACCTTCCACGACTCGAGCCCCAGCCGCATTTGAGTCACAATCAAACCCCGGTAAAAAAAATGGTGAAGCCAGAACCGTGTAAAGAATTAAAATGGCGGCCGCAACTATTTCTGGCTGGGACTGCCCCTTACTAACCTTCATCTACCCGGGTTTTGATTGTGGCTCATTTTGCATTTTGCGAGAACAATGTCCAAACGCCTTCTTGGTTTCAATGACAGGGAAAAACAAACTATCGTCTGGGCACCAACCGTGCGGACGGCACCCACATTCGGCAGCGGACGCGCTGACGCTTTAGCCTTCTCGCACTTGAACCGAGCTGTTACCCGCTGCTTTCTATGTTGGATTTGTCACGTACAAAAACAAGTCGCCATTGCGCGGCAGATCGAGGTGCGGCGCAGATCGAGCGGCATGGAGTCCGTTGGACCATTTTTTGTGCTTTCCTCTCTTTTTTCGTGCCACGAAAGGCGAACGGCACCGGCGTCTACATGCGACGTAGTTGGATCATCGGTTCTAGATTCCCCTCTAAATACCAGCAAACGTTATGGTTTCAGCTATGGTTTCAAAGCGGTGCCAACGGATTTCATCCGTCCTTCTCGTCCAAGTTGTATGGAGAAATGGCATGAACGTGATGTTGAACATATTAGCCATGAAAGCCTTCAGGCGTGGCGTACTCCAGAAGTTGATGATGACTAACTGTTTGCTGTTTGCCCTTGTTTATACATGTATGCATCATACTCATAAATAGAAACTATATACATGTGCATATTCTCCGCATCTCATCTCCGGTATATTGTGATAATACATATCTATAGGCATGCTCGAGGCAAGCTGATCAACAGACACCCTTATCCCCCAAGCATTCAAGTCAATGCGACCATGGTTTTGCTGGACGGTTAATGTTGTTTTGTTTTGTGATCTCTAAATCGCCATACACGCCGATGTCAAAGCCGTGCCTGCAGTCGTTGCCACACCAGCAGGACTGCCTCTCAAAGGGAGAGATCCGATGGCCATGGGCTTTTCAAAATCCAAATCGGTTAGCCCCAGTGAACATCCCAATCCAACCACTAAAATAGGTTCTAAAATGGGTGGTGCACAGATTGAGTTGTGAAAAGAGACATGGAGATCAGGGGACCCGTTCTACGGATCCGCTTTAAACGCGGGGTTTCCCAAAGATCTCCCGGCGGCCGAGGATCGCCCAGCCCTCGGTGGATCGAATCCGAGCGCCAGGCCCCGAGAAAGCCACAGCGGCCGTAGAGGACTTCGCAGTCGCCCAGCGGCAGCGCTGCAGCACCTGTCTGGTTCACATGGCCGTGGTGGTCAAAACCGTTTTGGGTCCCCTTTTGGTTGGTAGGTGAAATCACCGCCCATTTTTTAGAACCTATTTTGGTGGGAAGTGGGATGTTCACTGGGGCTAACCGATTTGGATTTTCACCCATGGCCACATAGGTCCCTGGAGCATGACTTCCTTCCTGCCCGTTTATGACGATGGAAAACCAGGCCGCCTGAAAAATCCCTCACACCAGCGAAAACATGATATCTAACATGCTATTCACCGCACTCTGACACCCCGATCCTGCAGCACTGCAACGAAACTGAGGGCAGGACGCTCAGCCAAATGGCCAAGTCTCCTCGCAATGAGATGATTGCATGCAGGCAAAGTTAGGGGTCCTCTTTGGTATCGGCGGCACGTATCAACAGGGTCCAACGGCCCATCTTCTCGACCCCCATGCAGTCTCAAAGGGCAAACAAAAATCACAAGCTCAGCAAAGATACCGTGCAAATCTTTCCTGACGCACTCCTGCTCTTGAGTCTGCCTCGGGAATTTCACGAGAGGTTAGATTCTTTAAAAATGTGCTGCACTGTGCTGCAGAGCATATCATGTTTCTTGTCGTCTTTGCAATGCCAGTGATACAGTGCATGGGCAAAATCCTGCACCACGCGCACAAATTGTTTGCTCTACTGTGGATGGACGAAATCCTGCACTGCTTTGAAACCATGGGAAACCATTGTTTGTTGGTATCTAACAGAGAATCCAATCATTCCAGGGTTTCTTAGGTGGTGCGAAATGGATTTCGTCCATCGACAGTACAACTCACTAGCAATGCAGTAAGCGCTCCGCTGGCCCAACGATCGGTAGGCCCAGGCCTCAAGAAGCCAATCTCAAGTGCGGTGAAGCACCCGGCCCAAGAGCCTCACCTTCAGCGCGACGCAACCTGCCTGTCCTTCAAGAAGGGTCGCCTGCACAACATGAGGCAGACATCCGATAGCCACGTCGACATCCGATAGCCACGATCAATATCTATTGCCCCAATGACATTGGACTTTGATAAGTAGCCCCGATGGTATTTGGTGAGTGTGCCGTATTTCATCCCCTGTCCTACCGCAGATGACGGTAAGACTCAAATACGCGTCAAGTGCTAAGGTATGCTCAAAATGTGATCGATCCTGTACTGGTTGCCACATTGGCCGAAAGAAGGATCCGGTGGGCCCGGTGCCCCGGTTTTGTGAATCCAACAGCACCGCCGGAATGCATCCAAAGCGCCCTCTGCGGATCGCAGGCTTCTTCTGCCTGCAGGTGCTGGGGTAGTGTTTGCCTCTCCACGTGGCTGTGGGTCAAAAATATGTACCCAATGAAACCCCGGTAAATGAAACCAAGGACGAAAACTTGTGGTCCCCTGGTGGCGAAATTTTGACCCAGAGCCATGTCCGTCCGTCCGTCCTGCTCCAATAGTCGAAGGGCATCGCGGCACAAAGAAAGGCCTTCCGGCGTGCCTTGTCAACACGCCAAGGTCAAGGATCATTATGGTTGTGAGATCCGGACCTGTCCCACTGGACATGTCAAGCAACATGTAGGCTGCCCCGGCCTCCAAAGAAGCATGATGTCAAGCAGTGTCCAAGCATCCCTGCTGTCTGCGTGCGAAAGCAGAGTATGTTCACAACCGGAAAACTCAATTCAGCATCTGCATCCTGGAATCAATACTGATGCTGAGCTCGCCACCAGTCCTGTATAGACCTGAGGACACCAATTGGGCTAGACAATCTCAAGAATCCAGTTCCAGTTCAGGTTGCGTCAGAAGATCCGCAGAGGCTAAGAAATCGGCACTGCCCTTCTCGTGGGTGGCTTCTAACACCGCCTTTTTCCCAGCCACGATTTCGCGTTGAAGCACTGCCTGCGGATACCAAAGCCGGAAGCATGCATAGTCAAAGTGCGCGTCTGGCCCATTGCTGTCCTTTTTGGAAAAAAGATGGCCCTGGTAGATGTTTGAACAACCAGGTAAACCAGGGCCTTTCAGCAAACAACCAAAAACAACCAAAAACAACTAAAAAACAACCAAAAACAACCAAAAAACAACCAAAAACAACCAAAACCAACCAAAAACAACCAAAAGCAACCAAAAACAACCCCAAAACCAAAAACAACCAAAAAGGACACCTATGGTCAGGCCTTCCAGTCTGCTGGCGCAGATCTGTCGTCCATGACATTGCGGAAGTGGCGACCATCCTGCCAAATTCTAAGGGTTTTTGTATTACACCCTGGGATTATGCCCACCGGGAAATGACCCCATTTAGGCATATGTCCAGGATAACATCATGTTATGTTGGTCCATTTTGGGCCATAGGCAACCAGGTGCGCATGTCAACTGAGCATCGCATCGTGGGGGAAATGGAATCCACGAGTCTGTACAACAGAAAGGGCCTAACCCCAAAGATGAACCAACAAGGGGGAATTCCAACGAAGATATCACGCAAGTGGTTGGATAAGCCCCGAGTGATGCCACAACCCTGCCGCTGAGTCATGACCATCAAGGTGCCTCAACATCCATGGCGTAGCGCCACCAGCTTGGCTAAATCGTCGGTTGAGATCATATGGCCTGCTCCTCTGTAGTTCACTGCACGGATCGTGCGGTCACATGCTGCTATGAGTGGATGGACTGGTGGAGGTTTGTCTGAACAGCCTCCCCGACTAGGCGGCAGTTTTCGATCTTGAGCTCGCACGCGGCACATCCAGGCGCTCACTTGGCCACACGCAAAGCATTCACTAGGCACCCATCGCTTTTCCGAGAGCTCTCCCTAGACTTCTGGCCTAAAGAGTACACAATTCGGCTGCGATTCAAGGTCGCGCCCCTCACGTGAGTCATACTCAAAACCGATCGGTACAAACATGGTCTGCACAGAACCATATATTAATCAGGAAAGGGGGGACTATCCCTTACCAACCTTCATCTACCCGCATCGGTTTTGAGCAAGCGGCTCAAATGGTGCAAAGGCTTCCAACTCCAAAAAGCACATCCCCAGATTCGCCGGGGATCATCCGGACTCAGCATCCCTCCTAGTCCTTCAGAAAGCGAAGAATGAAGAGCTCCTCCATCCCACGCTGCTCCTGCTTCGCCTTCTCCCCTCGAAGCCCCAGAGCGCCTCCCAGTGCAATGATCTCCTCCGGCTCATTCTCGGCGATACACACGAGGTAAAACAAGCCCCCGGGCGCAAGAACCCGTGCGACCTCCGGAAGAAGTACATCAATTACTTCACGCCCACGTCTGCCCCCAGCCCATGCCACAGATATGCCGCAACCCTGCATTTCCTCCTCATCCGTTGGCACGTAGGGCGGATTGCAAATGATCATGTCCAGCACATTCGGGCGCAAGAAACCCGTCAGCGAGCCCCGAAGCACGTCTGCCCTCGGGACCTGTTGCTCACGTAGAAGCCCGGCTGTGCACCGGATTGCCGCTGGATTTTTGTCAACTGCCCACATCAAGGGCATGGGAGACCCTCCGTACGCGGCGCCATCAAAGATCTTCCGCAGAGCGGCACTCACAACTCCAGAACCGCTTCCAATCTCTAGGCAAGTGAGTGGCTGCCTTGCTCGGATCAAGGCAACATCACTTGCAAGGGCCTCCAACAACAAGAACGTGTCATCACTCGGAGGATAAACCTCCAGGCCAACCCGGGCTGTGCCTGCCTGCACAATTCGGCAAGCCCAATCTGGCGGCGGGCATGCCGGCTCGGGGTCATCTAGCATCTGCAAGTCTTGGTTCGTCCTGTCGTTTGTGGGGTATCTGAGTATTTTACTGTTTCTGCTGATTGTTGCTTGGGAGAATGGCAAAGTGGAGCCATCCCTCCTTTTCATCACAACTCTGGCTGCGGCAGACCCAGAGAACCACCAAGTCTCTCAGTTTTTTGCTTCGCAGACTCAACGCACAAGCCTTTCGGAGAGCTGCCGTCTTTTTTGAGCTTTGAGTCCGCTGAACCTCGATGATCGCAGCTCGACGTCAAATGAAGACGCCCATCTTCCTCAGTTGACAGGAGCGACCGTCAAAGTGTCACCTCGCAAAATATGGGTGCTCAAATGAATGTACCAAAATGACACCTTGGTACATGGAACCAAAACCCTAAAAAAAACTGGGGAACGCCAGCTCTTGAATTTTGAGCCACACACGTGAAGGGGTATCCAAATGCTTGCCCTTGGCACTGCCGGCATTGTGCAATCTAGCTTTTACCGGCACACTTCCAGCTGAGTTCTCGCTCTCATGACGATCGCAGCATCAGAATGGTAGCTCAACTGGATTCAATAGGACTATGTACAGCAAAGGCAAAACTGCCTGCATGCCTATGGCATTGCTTTGACAAGACCAGCACTAGAGCTGAGCAATGAGGCTTGCACTCAAGCCCGCTCAGTTCACCGCATTCCACTCTCAGCGAACAACTGTGTCTGCGCGAGCTCTACAGTCCTTAGCGAAGACTTGGCATCAGTTCAGAGTTCCTCTGGAACAAATGAATTTAGATTATCCATGAACCCCCAGCACAGATCGTTTGTGGTGCAGCCGAAAAGCATTCCGACAATGTCAGGAACGTCTGACACTGTTGCCCAAGTCAAATCCTGGGTATGCCGGAGATGTTTGTCACCCAGCTTTCTGCAATGCAGGCACAAACACACGAGAACGTGTCCTTGTGCGTGTCGTACATGAACTTCCAGCAAAACGGAACATCCAGACCTTGCAATGGGCGGCACAATGTTTTCTAATGCATTTCAACATTGGGTTCTCCGTGCAGGTGCTACCTGGTACGGCATGGAGCCACATTGTGCAACATGCAACCTGTGACCTGGTGCAACCTAACGCAATGTAGAGGTGCCAGCTTGCTCATGCAACTCCTATCATGGGGACAAACATTCTGAGAATGAACAAAGCCAGACAAGAGAAACTAGTGAATGAAGCATGGCAGTGGTGCCAAACAATACAACTTACACGTCTGCCGCAGAGCGGTGCTCTGGCAAAATTCCAACAAGACACATGGCACGTCAACACGACGTAACGTGACACCACTGCGGTGCCATGTTCATGCGCATCATAGCACCATACGTGCAAAGGACAAAGCACAGTGTTCATGGTGGAGCTTGCACAAGACATGCTGACAGCACAATGGTGAAGAAGCGCTGTCATGATTGCCGGAGCTGCAACGCTGAGACGCTGAGTTTCACACAAAGGCTGGAGATATAGCCTGCAATTGAGGTGTTGAGGATGGCCAGGTAGTCCACATACTTAGGCATCGCTTAGGTGTTCAACGCGAATGGGAGAACCACGGAATTGTTGCATGACTGCACAAGCAAATGCAACCTGCTGCTGAGTAGGGAACCCTCTGCAGAAACAATGGCAAAAGGAAAGAACCACCACGCATCTTTGAGTTGGAAATCCTACACACTTGAGTGCACAAGGCGCGGCCCAGTCGACGATGATCTGCTCAGGAATGACGCCACTCAGCCCGGGATTGTGAGAGACATCAAACACCTCAAGGCGTGCATCTGGAATCAAGCAACGCGCCAAATCCACTTTGCGGCGCTCAAACAGCGTCATGACTGTTGCGAAGGCCTGATTTCTTGCTCAGGCTGCCATTGCGGCGCCCTTCCTTTTCCATTCATGATTCTTTCTTGTTTTAATTATCATTTGTTCGAAGTTGTTTCTTTCAGTCGCTACCCAAAACGGTGCAAAGGCTGATGCCTAATCCTCGGCCTGGTGCTGATGCAAACGAACGCTCTCCAGGCCGCCGTGGCCGGGGGAGGTGGCAAGCGCTTTGCTGCATTGATTTAAATTCGCACCCCGCTGCCCTCAAAGGCACCCCGCTGCATGCATTTGCGCAGGTTGCGCAGTTGCCTTCTCCGCAGCCTGAGGGCCCCGAGAGCATTTTGAGTTTGCGCGTGGCGGAGCATTAGCCATAGTTGCGACAGATCGTCCGAGAAGTGTTTCTCCTTTTGAGGCGCTCCCGCGATTTTTTCTGCGAGGATTGGTGTGGTCGATGTACCAAAACGGAGGTATTCTCCCACTTCGCGCAGACCGCGCGACCTGCTGCGGGATCGGCGTGGTCAATGTGCAGAAGGTAGTCATTTGCAACTCTTGGCGGTACTTGCGTGGAGAACGATCCTTTGCATTGAGAACGGTGCGCGCGCGAAAAGAAGATGCACAGAGCGACTTGCAGAGAGAGAGGGAGAGACAGAGAGAGAGTTGCGAAGAGAGCTTGTGCAGAGAAACGTGCGCAACAGCACTGGCGCAGACAAACGCGCACCAGTAGAGCTCGCAGAGAGAACTTGCACCGATAACTTGCGCAGAGAAACTTGCGTAAAGAACACGGATAGACAAACTTGAGGCAAGGCGTGCCGAGAACTTGCGCAAAGAGACCAGAGAACATCTGAAACAAAACCTTGCGCAGAGAACACACTTGCTCAGAGAACGCGCTTGCTCAAAGAAATTCGCTCACTAGGCTTGAATTCGAACCCCAGCAAAAAAACATGTTTTTTGCCTGGTTAGTGGAAAACAAAAGGACCCAAAAAAAAAAAAAAACAAGAAGGGGAGCTAATTCTGGGGAAGCTCAAACCACTCTGCGCGGCGTTCAACAGCCGTTTAACGTGGTGAATTGCTGCTCAGGCCTCTGGAGCAGCGTCGGAGCAGAAAACTGTCCCGCTGCCATGGGTGTTCCCGGTGCTTCGACGGTGTGGGGTGCGAAAAAGCACTCTCTCAACTCTACTCCTCTAAGACTCTAAGAAGGGCACCCGAATCTTATTCATGGGCACGATGTCCTGCGACACGCTGACACACTCTTCCCAGATTCTTGCTGGTGCTCGATAGCAAGGGATGACCGAGTTTCCGGGTGTTGGCAATGAACCGCCATTCCCTCAATCCCTGCTGAGCACCGGCAAGAAAAGGCAACATGCGCAAGCATCAGATGGCAGTGATGCATCACGAAGCAAAACAAACCCAGAACCACCCACGGTCCCGAGTTATGCTGCCAATGAGCCGGTTGTACTGCAAGTGGACAAACCTCACTTTTTGCTCGCTTGATGTTGCCAGGATAACGAGTTCATCCACCGTTTTTTGGCAACGGTGACGGGTCCAAGACGTTCAGCTTGGTGCTCTTAGACTGTCAAATATCGTGATCATCTGATACGTGTAAGGGATAATTCTGCTTGCACTGGCTTTTAGCTTCGTGCACGGCTTGCAGCCTGGCTTCTGGGTCTGAAGAGTACAGTAAGGAGCGAGCCGAATGTTCTGCAATCTGCCAAACTCCGCTGGAAACTCATCCTGCACAATGATGCTTGCTCCACGGATGACTCGCCAACTGCAACTTCACTGATACGGCTGTGAGTCAAAAATATGTACCCCAAATGGAACCCTGGTAAGTGGAAACATGAACCAAAACCTGGTCCCCTGGTGATTGAATTTTGACCCATACCCATACTTTGCTGTCGTCCTCAATCCGATTGTTGTCCAGCTCCAGTGTGTGCAGCCTATTTCGAGAGCGCAGCGAGTCTGCTTCGAGCTGCTCTTGTATGAATCTCAGGGGCAGACAGCTGGTAGCGGCTCAAGTAGATTGGCAGATTCCTGGGCAGGTACTCTGTATTTCTATATATATATGTATATATATATATATGCGTACATATGCGTGAAACACCAGGAAGTGAAGCATGCCAAGATCCGGGCTTCAGAAGATTTCGGCTGGCACTGAGCGAACGCAGCGTGTCTGCATTCAAGTACAAGTCCTCGGCGGGCCGAATGATCCAACAGCTCAGTCACCTGAATCATGCGCATCCCACAAAGTGCTTGCATATTCATATGGCTGTGGCTCAAAAAGACCGTACCAAAATGGAACCCTGGTAAGTGGAAAAATGGACCAACACCTGCGTCACCCCTCCTGTGAAATTTTGAGCCACACCCATATCTGAGGCAAAGCGCGTCAGGCAAGCGCAGGATCAGGTTCCCCGAGACCTAGAAGGAAGCCATCATGTTGACCCCGGAAGAGTAAAACCCCCGGTTTATTCATAGCAGGGTGTCCATTTCCGGGTGTCGTGGGAATTCCGACCACTCTTGGAGGCGAAGACTCCCGGATACGACTAAGCCGGGGTTCTGCTTAATGCGGGGTCAGCACCGCGCAACGGATAGTCGACAAGACAAAGCCTCGATCTCCTCGAGCTGAAAGCACATGGCAAGGGAAGGCATCACCCTGAGGAAAGCCAGGCTCCGCATGAGCCACGGGCGGACTCAAAACCGATTCGGGTAGATGAAGGTTAAGAGAGAAGCCCCAACCATGAATGGGTGCAGCCGCCCTTTTTAATTCTTGAATAATGGCTCTGGGAAGACCATTATGATACAAGGGTTTGACTATAATTTGACTATGACTCACGTTGACATGGTCAATGCAATACGAGGCCCTTGCCCTTCAACTCGATTCATCTCCTCGTTCGGATGCCTTGGTCAAGGCAATCTGCCAGATGATTCACCAAGCCCCCGTGGTTGACGGTTCCTTCTGTGTGTTTGTGTGTGTGTGTGTGTCTAGTCGGAACATGCATGCGCACTCACACCATATGGCTGTGGGCCAAAATGATGTACCCAAACTGGAACCCTGGTATATAAATGGAACCCATGACTAAAACCTGCTGTCCAATTCCTGGTTAATTTTGACCCACACCAATACGTGCACGCTCGCACGCCCATCATCGCTCCAAGTTGCAAGTGGTAATCTGACTCCGTGGACGACAAGTCGAGCTTGATCAAGGAGGTCAAAGCACCTCAGCAACGTGATAGGCACTTCCAACCTGCACTTTCTTGTCAGCTAGCATGGCCTTTGTGAAGCCTTGAGGAAACAAACATTCCTGGACATTTGTGTGCACCAGCATCACGTCGCACGCTCAGCTGCTTCCCGCATTCTGCAAGAACCAGCTGAAGAAAAAAAAGTTGGCCATGGGGCAAAACCCTGTACCCCCAGTGAACATCCCAATCCCCACTAAAATAGACTAAAAAAAGGCACCTATCCCAAAATGGTACCATTGGTTTTGAACGACCCCGCCAGTTTGAGACAACACCAGCGCAGCTGAAGGTCCACCAAAGTGCAAACGAGCCGCCCATGGTGGACGGCAGCATGCCGCGCACTCTGTTGTCCGAGAGTTCAAGCTTGATGACCTCAGGCATGATGGCATATCAAACACCGGGCGAATTCCAGGGATGCTTGTACATACCCCTTTTACATACCCCTTCGACAAATGAACCCGACAGGCCTGCTGATGTTCATACCCCTCTCCCCAAAACGGGTATATACCCCTTATAAAGTGGGTTGGAAACCACGGAAGCCAAGGGTTATGAAGAACTTCTTCCACCCTTAGATGAATGCCAACCTTCCTGTGAAGCTATTACCCACGGCCCGTCGTGTAGGGCCGTGGCGTAGCCATGCTCGTTGCAGGTGACTCCATACCAGTAGTCCCAGCAGGGGTCCAAATCCTGGCACGCCCAGATCCACTGATGCTGGGCAGTGCCTGAGAAGCATTGGCTTGAGAGCTCTATATAGTGTTGACCGCGGATCAATAGACCGCTTATTATATGGGGGTGTCCCTGGTTTTAGTGGGAATAATCACTTTTGGAGGGGAACACCCCCATATTAATAAACAGGGGTTTATTAATCCGGGGTCAACATTAACGCTCAAGCTTGCGGATCTATGAGGCCAATGTCGCAAAAAAACTCAGCAAGCGGATCGAGGCAGAAATCGCCGTCCGTGTCCGCAATGTGAGAGCCAAGAAACCGACACGCCGCAAAACCGAGGATACAAGGAAAACCTTTGGCAGCCCAAACCCTAAGCGCTGTTCAAAGGCGCAAAGCAACATGCTTATTTTATATATATATATATATTAAGAAAAAAAAACGGTTGCTTCACTTCCATTTGTGAAGTGCCACTCCAGAGGTCTTCTGTGGAATGGGCATGCATTTTTACCTCTGGTGGACATCATTTAAGTGGGGTCTTATGGTGGGGTCCGTGTTTAAACAATCACGGCCAGATCTGTTTTGCGCTCTTCTAACTGCCTACGGTCTGTATACGATCTGATCTGAGCCGGCCTTCCTTTTTCTCGCACCTGACGTGACCTTCAAATCAGGCAGGGTGAGCATCGCACCAACAAACCCGGCCTGCCAATTTCGCCAATTCGTTTCGTGGTTTTCTCGCATGAAAAGCGACCAACAGAAAGGCCGAAAAACTTGTGCCATGCGTGCTGCAAGCACTGGCCACCCACAGGTAGAAGTGGTTGAAAAGCCGTCAGTGAGACCAAGCTGGTTGTGTTTGCCATGTGCGCGACCGAATATATGGGCACCACCCTCCAAGCAGTTTGTTGCATTTCCACATCACTCCAAAACTCAACGAGCCCCAAGTGACTGTGGGCCAAAATGATGTACCCAACATGGAACCCTGGTAAATGGAAACCTGGGCTGAAATGTGCGGTCCAATTCCTGGTGGTTTAATTTCGACCCATACCCAAGTAGCCAGAAGGGCCTGATTCCAGTTGTCACGGGAGCGCCAGAAGTCGCCTGCGAGGCAGAAGGTGGAAGGCCGCAGCTGGCAACGTACATCCAACGACTCACGCCTTTTGTTCATGGGGGTGATTCGGCCATGGGACCCACACTGCCATTGAGCACCGAGCCTCCACACAAGTTGTAGAACTCCATCAAAGCGGCTTTCCTGAAACTCCGCTCTTCCGAGGTCACTCAACACAACTTCCCAAGCGCCGCGCTCGGATTTTCTCTGGTACTCATTCTGGTAGGACGGGAAATGTGCTCGTGCATACTGGCATCCGTAGGGCCTCAGGTCTTTGAGCAAGACACGTGAGATTTGGGCGTGTCGTGTTTGAGGAGACCCACCAAACAGGTGGGACCAAAAAGGGGGTACCCTCAACAAAAGGACAGACGGACCCGTATGGTTTAGTTCGTCTCCGGTGAAGCCGCCTGCCAGAAACAATGCAAGAAAGGTTCCAATCGGCGAATGTCTCGAGACAACAATCAACTTTCTAGGGCCACTGAATCGCATGCCAACAACAGTAGGCTGGTTGCAGGCCGGTTCAAAACGGTCGATGCCCGGGCAAAAAATCCTTGCAACCTTTCAAGCTTACAATACACTACGCGATGCTTAAGGATTCAAAGGGGGAGAGCTTGCCTCAGGCAACGAATTGCAATTCGTATCCACTGTGTACCATCTCGTGGCTTGCCAAGTGCTGTTCGCCTTGTCGCAAGAATGCACACTCGGCCACAGGTGCAACAGGACCGACGGACGTGCTTGACAAGGCAAAAGCCAACCCGTGAAGGAATCTGGGGCGTCAATGCTTTGACAAGGCGGCCACAAGCACAACGCACAAATGGCACATTGACATTGTAGGTCATACAGTCTGAACGCATAGGGCGCTATTCATAGCTAGGCGTGCTGCCAAAAGAACAATATGAATAAACCCTGCTGCAGGTGGGTGCACCCACACTCTCACACACACACACACACGCACCAAACACACCACACACACACACACACACACACCACACACCACACACCGCACACAACGTGTACACCACGCACCACACACACTTCTTGCTGAGAAAGAGCGGCATCAGAATGTAAGCCAAAGCCAGCCACGGCAGCAATGGCGTCAAGTTTGAATGCGTCAAAAAAAATATCATCCAGCGGGCTGAGGCTGGCGCATGGCCTCCATGGTCGTGTAGTAGCAAGAGGATTCCTGTCACGTCCGCAACGGCATGCCTTTAATGATTAGTCTAAAAAAAAGTACCCGGCAAACGTGCTGGATGGGCGATGGACACCGACTTGCGCTGGTTCCGGTGCCACCTTGGCGATGGTATCTTCAAAAACGAGCGTGCTCGCGTCTTCCTTCTCACGGCACAATCGCCGTAAGTTGAGCCGAAGCACGCGCCATCAGAAACCAGAAGCCGCTCGTCTTCGGTGATGCCTCCGGCTGCTAGTGGCCCTCTTAGCCTCATTCTCAGGTGTCTCGGCAGCAAACAACTCTCGAACTGAGAGCCAGGCAGGCTGGCAAGTATCACGCCAAGAAGCCACATCAGTGGCCTCTCCATCCCGACTTTCTTCCAAAAACACGCTGCAACCAACTACAAGCCTTGTACTGCCCTTATTCAACCCTGCGTCCTGCACACGAAGACGCATGGAAGACTTGTTAAACAAGCACTCTGAATTGGGTCCTCCGCGCCCACTTCCCGCGCTGCGAAAGTGCATGGCAGGCCATGAACGCAGCTGTGTTGCTCGTCACGGCTCTGTGTTGAACGTGTAAAAAATCGTAATAACTTTGTTGGTGATAATACATCTGCTGAATTATGATATGAAACAAATGTCCAATAATATAGCGTTGAATATCTATCACTTGTACTTCCCCTGTACCCCGTGCTTCGGAAGGGCTCTCAATCAACACAGCAATGTACTACGAAGGGCTCGCTCTCCCCATCATGCTGCCTGCGGAAAAACTCCCACTTGTCAATCGAATCATGCTCGATCTTTGAGTCCAAGCCAGGCGCGGCTGATGCGGGAGTATACGTTTATATTCATGGTATACATTTATATTCACGTGTACATATATACATATACAATGATATATATATATATATACACATATATATACATATAGTATGGGGGGGCTGTTCAAAATAGAGATCCCCTATATTCAATGGCAGTGTTCCTTTTGTTCCCCTTTAAAAAACCAACCAAGAAGGTCCATCTTGAGAAATTTCAATGTGTTTTTTGCTGATCACAGCGGGAAAGCAAAGCGGGACGTGCCCCCTTGGAAGCCGGCATCATGCAGGCCACCAGCGACAGGTTGATGCAGATGCCGCAAATCCTGGGTGATGTGTTGAATCGGATAGCATCCCTTTTTCCCACTTAAAACATCACCCCGACCTTTCATGGGACACTCACCTTTCATGGGCCAAAAAAAGGTGATGCTTGAAACCACCCAAAGGGAAGGATACGTGACTCGGATTGCGCCACACTCCAATCCGAATCTGTTTCAGGTGAATCGCCGATTTCCGGCGGTTGTTCTGTCAGCCATGTCCGCACGTTTCATGGAGCACGGTACCTTCTCAGCTGCCTGTACCAAAAAATCCACCGTGCAGCCGGAAGTCAGCTGGGCCATGTTGCCCAAGTCCAGCATCTGGCAAAGCACGGAATGCGAGTGCCACATTGGGAAGTCGTTCATGCTGTGAATGTACAAAATCCTGCACCACTTGAGCCATCATTCTAGGGTTCCTTTGGTGGTGCAAGATTTCGTCCATCCACAGTACGCGGGTTGATCAAAAGGCCCTTTGCATGACCATTGGGCAAAACCACCAAAAATACGATATTTTTTCCCACATGTGAAACTTGCCCGTAGTCCTTTGGGGGCCGAAAGGAATATTGATCAACCCTCATACGTCGCCAATCATGCCAGCGCCACCGGCCCGCTAAGCTTTGTTTTATCAACGTGCATAGCCACACCTGGGCTCGCCGTATCGGTCTCGCTCTGAAACATATCATTTTCTCGGTGGCACGGTGCTTGTGAAGGTTGACCTTCAAGCTGTGGCGGTACGCAGTTAGTGACGACCTTGGATCGAAACCCTTTGCATATGACTCAGGAGGACTGGCTGTTGCACGCCATTGGTCGCCAATGCAGTCCATAGCTACCATATGTGCCATGCGCAAACTTGGCCTATGGTCATGGTTCCTGGACAGGACCATTTGGATGGCCATGGGTCAAAACCCCGTACCCCCAGTGAACATCCCAATTCCCAATAAAATAGACTAAAATGGGTGGTGCACCTACCCCAAAATGGTAGCCTTGGTTTTGACCCATGGCCGGATGACCATCACTGTTAACCCCAAGAGGAGGGACCGCTCTTTTGACCATGGCGCATCCTGAGGCTGCCACCGTGCAGCCTCGCTCAGAGGGCTGGCCTTTGGCACTGGTCTGGTGGATGGGGTACCCTCCCCATTCGGCGTCAAAAGGAAGCGAGGTTCAAATCCAAATCCAAACCACCAATCCAAACCACTGGCAAATGAATTGTGTTTTACTCGCGTGTAGTGCAAAGGACGAAGCCTGGTGCTGCCGCCACCTGTCAAATCCAAGAGCTCAAAAGAGTGGTTGCAGTGTTGCCTGCATCTGAGGTCTGAGGTCCTGGCTGCTCCATTGATTGGAAGCCATCACCTGTCAAATCTCTGGGTCTCGAAGTCTCAGTTCTGGCCAAAGCTTTTTCGCAGCTTGCGCTCACGAGCCAAAAAATTGATGTCCTCCCACCAATTCACATGGAACCTGAGAGGGGGGTCCTGGAAGACCATCTTCCTTTTAAACAGCCCCGCGAACGTCAGGTTCCATGTGAAAGGGGTGGGGGGGTAACTCTGCCAAGCTGCTGGTGATCCCAGAAGCCTTGGCCATGGTGTGAGCTGTCTATCCCTCAGACCCAACTTGAAGCCAAAAATGGTCTACCCAGAGCCATACAAAGAATTAAGAAGGCGGATACCCGCAGCTATTTCTGGTTGGGATTGTCCCTTACTAACCTTGGTTTTGAGCACGTGGCTCATCTGATAAGCTTCTGGCGCTCACGGACGCATGCTTCAGGTTCAGCCCGAAGACGGAAACTGGTCGCGACGCGCGACGCGCGTGTTGACCGACTCAGATTTCGCAGCTCCGCTAGGCTCAGATCTCGCTCGAGGTTTGTTTTGTTTAGAGTTGGTGGCCCCCATGTTTGGCAGTTTTTGAAGGGAAAGCAAAAGCAAATCCACTTAAGGGGGGTCCACCCACACACCCACGTTAGCATAGCAAGTCATCCGATTCGATGTGACATGTTGACCAGCTAGGGTAGATCTGCATATCTGATCTCTGCGTTGTTGAGTGCCCCAAGGCCATGCATGTTGCCCATGAGGGGCCTGGCACCAGCAGCAACAGGGACCAGCCAGGCATTGGCATGGAAGGGCCCAGTGACCCTCACTTGGAGCCACGGAGCGAGTTGGACGTTGACCAAGGGATCTACCCTCCCTCCCACTATCATGGCAACTGGGAGGGGGTCCCTTCAAAAGGAAATTCATCTTCCAGGTACCTCCCCACAGGTGCCATGTTAGTTGGAGGAAGGGTAACAGAGTTGCCAAGTCCATTCGATTTCACGTACCTTCACATTGATAAGCATGCGACCTAATGCTGGAACGGCATTCTTTTTCATGCGCAATCCACTTTGCGGATCCAGCTAAGTGGCAACTGGCCCATCTCTGGCAGAGAATGGGTCTGAATGATTGTGGGTTTGTGCCTCACCCTCGCAAGTCAGCTAAGATGAAGCCTGCTGTGCCCAAGAACGCCCTTGTGCACGTATGCCTGACGGCAAGTGCTCTTGCGTTGCGCAGGGACTCTGCGAGCTGCAGTAGAACTGATTCTTTTTTGTGTCTTAACTTCAATTTGCACTGCTTGCATCACAAAAAGCTTTCGTGCCCGCAAAAAAGATGGCTTCGACAGCTGTTCGAGTGGTTTTCCAGGCGTTTTCCATGCCGAGTCATTGGAGGTTCCCTGCTTTTAAGTGAGAGAAGTTCTTCCCGGCCTTTGGATGACAAATGCAGTCGACTAAGCCGTTGATGAGTGTGGTTGTCCCAGCATGACGCTGGGTGGCAGAGACACCACAAAGCCTCGGGTCAAAAGTCAGAGAGCACCAGCGGCTGTGAATCTGAATAGGGATCCTGTGGACATCATTTAGCTGGGGATTCTTGTACACCCACCACCTTGGAGGTTGCCTACTGCGGATGGACGAAATCCTGCTGCACTTCAAAACCATGGTTTAAGCCATTGTTGCTTGGTACTTGCAGGGGAGTCATCGGAAACTAGAGCTTCTGAACGGTGGTGCCGAGGAATTCACACCCACAGTATTTCAACTCATCACCAATTCCAAGGAGCGCGAACAACTCATCCACATCAGCTTCCGTCAAGCCATCATGCCCTTCCGGGCTACAGAAGGTGACTCTCACAAGAGCATGCAATGCCAGCCTGTAGCGATTTGCTTGAAGAGGTCCTGACACTTACTGAAAGCAGAAGCCAATTTGGCACCTTCCCCTAGTTCTGCTAGGTGAACTTCGCAAGGTTGCGAGCACACCAGACTTGAGGCCAAAGGAAAAAAGCGTCTGACAGTCTCGCACGAAAGGTCTAAAAATCAGCTTGGCTCCTTGGAGCAATTCTTTTCAGCACCCAAAGCTCTGAATGCGCTTTGAAGCGCCTCGAGTGCGACGCCCGGAGCGAACCAAACATCAGCCATCCCCGAATTGGTGATTTGGATTGGTTTGGGATGTGAACCCCTGGCTTTTGTAGAGGGTAAAGTTGGAAACCCCTCCGTTTCACCAATGAAAAACCACCGGGCTCCAAGCCACCAAGACAAAAGCTCACAGGACCAAAGTGGCCGCTTCTTTTGACCCCAAAAGGCTCTCGGGTCCGGGCTTCTGGGTGAGGTCCGCACAGCTCCTGCGCTGAGCAAGGCCACTTGAGAATCAGAATCAAAACCGATTCGGTAGTAAGATGGTCGTAATCCCAGAACCATGCAAAGAACTAAGAAGGCGGAGACCCGCAACTATTTCTGGCTGGGACTGCCCCTTACTAACCTTCATCTCCCGGTTTTGATTGTGGCTCGACTTGAGAATCATAATCAAAACAAGTTGGGGGAGCCGCAGAAAGACCAACCCTGGTGGTGTTCCTTCCCTTTGAAACCACCGAAGAAGGTGGTACTCTCCAAAAAAAACAAATGGAGTCATACTCAAAACCCATCGGTATTAACATGCTCGGGACCCAGGAAACCATGCTTCAAGAACATTCAAAAGGCGGCGAAATCCGCATCCATTCAAAAAATAAGCTCAAGTAATATCCCCAACAGCATGCGGTGCTCTTTTTAGTGCTCGCGCAGAACCTCGAGGAACCCTGGTGGAACCCTAGTGGAACCCTGGTGGAGCGCTGGTAAAACCCTGGTGGAACCCTGGTGGAACCTTCGTGGAACACCTTACCTCAGGGCCGCCCCGGACCACCCCGGAGCCTATCTGGGCCGAGACCACAAAGCTTTCAGCTGTTGAGGAAAAATACCAACTTCATTCTCCCTTAACCTTCATCTACCCTTTACTCGGCTTTGAGCCAGTGGCTCATTCGCTCACGCTCGCTTGCGTTGGCACCTGCCCGAGGTCTGCGGCACTGAGAAGCTCTGCCAACGCCTCCGACATCGTAAAAAGCGCAGCCGTGGACTCACAAAAAAAGCTCAGCTTGAACATGCTGTGGATGGACGGAATCCTCTTAGGCACCACCCAAGAAACTCTGGATTCCCCAAATACCAACAAACAATGGTGTCAACCATAGAGTCAAAGCGGCGCGAGATGGATTTCGCAACCATCCACAGTATTGCTGAAAGCGGTGAGGCAGGCTGCGCGCCCACTTCTTGCGTCGCGGTGAGGCCTCGACCTGAGTCATAATCAAACCCGATTGTTAAAATGGTCGACCCAGAAACATGTAAAGAATTAAGAACGCGGCCGCAGCTATTATGGCTGGGATTCTCCCTTACTTCGCTTCATCTACCCGGGTTTTACTGGCCGTGAGGAGTGCTCTCGCCCTCGACGATCGCCATCTTTATGCACCGAGATTGCCGCAGCCCCGGTTCCCGCTGACGAATCTGGTGCACCAGCCTTCATGGTCACTAAATTCACTCATGCTATGCAACGAAAAAGGCTGAAACTGCCAATGTAGTTCTTTACACGAATACATCGATGCAGTAATACTTTGATACATTGGTTCATCAATATATGTCCTTAAACTAACCTAACACCTTAGCTGATACATCACTACCTTGAATATATGGATACTGCGGATGAACAAAATCCTGCACTAGTTTGGGCAAAACCCTTGAATACTGGGGTAAACCACCAAGTGGTGCAGGACTTCATCCATCCACAGTGCATCAATACACTAGTGCGGCAACCATGCTTGAGGGGGCTCCCGATTGCAGTTCATTCAGACCCATACGCAGTACAAGGCCTACTCGGTGTGTGACGCCCTAGCGCAATGCATTGCTCTTTCAGAGCCTGCGAAGGGCGGCTACATCATTCTCAGCCACCGTAGGTACGGGGAGGGGGGGGTCATGCGAGTAGCCACCAGGAGAAGTTTGCGGGCAGTCCGGATGACCACGCGTTTTGTGCTGCTGATGTTCGTTTATTGTATCACATAGATATAGATATATATATATATATAGAGAGAGATACATAGACAGACAGACAGACAGACAGACAGACAGACAGACAGACAGACAGACAGACAGACAGACAGACAGACAGACAGACAGACAGACAGACAGACGGACGGACGGACGACGGACGGACGGACAGACGGACAAATAGACAGACAGACAGACAGACAGACAGACAGACAGACAGACAGACAGACAGACAGACAGACAGACAGACAGACAGACAGACAGACAGACAGACAGACAGACAGACAGACAGACAGGCAGGCAGGCAGGCAGGCAGGCAGGCAGGCAGACAGACAGACAGACAGACAGACAGACAGACAGACAGACAGACAGACAGACAGACAGACAGACAGACAGACAGACAGACAGACAGACAGACAGACAGACAGACATAGATAGATAGATAGAATCTTCACATGAGGCATTCCTGCGTACACTCTTGCATGTATTTTGGGGAACCGGACCGAACCTTGTCCTTGTCAACGCAAGATCCATGAAAACATACTGTGGATGGACGAAATTCGTTCGCACCACTTTGAAACCATGCGAAACCATTGTTGGTTGGTATTTGCAAGGGAATCGAATCATATCCAGGGTTTCTTCAGTGCTGCCTAAGAGAGCGGATTTCGCAACCAACCACAGTAGTGCTCAACACAAAGGCCGAGCACGTGGGTGTACTGGGGTTACGCAGGTTGTCTTTGACTCATTATGCAAGGCGAAAAACGGACGATGGGTTGTCTCACGGCGCTCAGGCCAACGAAGCCGCAAGAAGAACCAAGAAAGCCCCACCCCACCCCACCCCCCACAATTTGCCTTTTGGTGCCATGTTGGGTGCCAAATTTTCACCCACAGCCGCATGAGCCAACGCAACTTCCAAAGCCGCGGCCTCGTTGAGCAGTGCATCCAGAGCTTCATCCACCAGGCACCAGCCCAGGCCTGAAACGCCAATTCGCCAGGCTCGCCAAGGCCAACAGGCCCACAGGTTTTTCGACCGAAACCCGAAACGCGGACGGCCGTTTCGGAGGGCCGTTTTCCGATTCTGGCGTGCGTTCGAAGCATCTCCAACTGCCCCTTCTGTTCCTGCTGTCGCCATGCTTGCAGCGAGCGCATATTCGACCTCAGAGATCGAGCTGCGGATTTCGGGCCTCTGATCTACTGTTCAAAGGGTCTTGAAGCTCAGCACTGCATTCAACTACAAATTGAGCGAAATCTTGGCGAGTTGACAGGTCACGGTCACGTGAGCGATCTTGGCAGGTTCTTGCTCAGCTTGGATGCCTCTGCAGCGCAGCAAGTCATCAGAGAGCCAATCCTACCGCACAAACAAAGGCAAGCATGTATCGATCAGGTATCACATTCACGAGAAAGCAGACTGACCATGAAAGTGCATCTTAACCTACTGCTCACGCCTCTTAAGCCCCCCCTTCTGGCCTTTAGTCTGGCGAGTCTTGATCGGTCAGACCTTCAGTCGAAACCTCTCCTCTGCTTGGCCTGCATCCAGCTCGAAAACGGCTGACGCCATAAACCGAAGTGGTGAAAGCTTCACGCTCACATGCATCGCGCTACAAAGCACATGGGGAGTTTCTCAACATCGGGGAGCGCCCAAAATGTTGTCCTTCCTTGCAGCTTCCCTTTTAAACCACTCAAGAAAAATGGGTTCAACGCATGTTGAGAAGCCCCCACATCCCTGGGCTGCCCTCAGATCCCCTGCTAAAAGCTTTTAGTGGGTTAAATGGAAACCCCCTCTAAACACTAAAAGGCTAAAAAGCTATGGCTGGGAGCCACCAAGATCTGACATTTCGCAGTTGTCTCAAGCATGGCAGCTGCGCCTTCTTCTCTCGTAGCTCACGCCCGGCTTTCTTCAGCAATCGATTCCGATTCTCCTGCGCCCGCCGCTGGCCTCGCGGCTTCTCCGCCAAGTACTCGGCAGCCATCTGCATGGACTCGCCCAGGGCAGCACTCGCTTTTGAGCCCGACTTGGGCTGCCTCTGCATCCGGGCAAAGAAGCGTTGGATCGAGCCAAAGTCCTGCAAAAATGTGGTTGTCAGCTGCAAATTCACCTCCGCATCTCTAGACAACTGGGCGATCCGTTCGCTGGCTGAATCCTGCCGAAATACTGCAGGATTCCTTCTTTCTTCCAGGGTCATAGCTGCAACAATCTGCTCATATCCGGTGGGAAGAGAAAGTGCACCTGCATCTGTGTTCGACATGGCCATCGTCGTTGCAATAAAATCTTCAAAGTTCATGTCTCCGCCGGCAATCCTGGCCCTGACCACCTCCGGAGAATCCACCGCCATGTTTCCGATGATTTCGTCAATGGCGGTCGGGGCCGGGGAGGGGATCGGAGCTCGCTCAGACTCGGATGGCTCAGATGGCTCTGATCGAGGCATGTCAAGTGCCCATGGAGGAGCTGTCTCCGCTGCAACTGCTGTCTGTAGACATCGTGACACAGGCTTGAAGCCAGTGAATGCTAACCTCAGAGCGAAACTCTGGCATATGGGTATCCGGCGGTATCCGCATGAGGGTACCGTTCACGGGGCTGTCCAAAGAGAAACCTAAGGGAAACCGCCAGTTTGGTCGATTTCCCCTTGTGAGGTTTGACCTTCAAAGCATATGATTTTAGCTCTGCGAGCCTCAGCCCCAGCGCAGTCAGAAGCTGCCAACCAAGGACATGGCGCCGAAACCGCGCGCGGCTCATTTCAAAGGTGGTTGAAGCTGGGAAAAGCCTGAAATGGGTACTGTTAGCTTAGCGCTGCTGCCCGATTCAAGCTTGCGGCATTTGAACTCGCCTCACTTGTGTCAGCAAAGCGCAATGAAACTGCGCAACTGCATATGCTTGAGCAGTGCACGAAAAGAAGGAACCACAGAATCATAACCGGTTGTGCATTTGTTTTGCAGAACCTAGATCTAGAACGAAATCTGACAAGGACAAGCAAACGTGAAGACAGTTCAAGCGCCGGACTTCGAAGCCAAGTTCTAGCCTGCCGGGTTTAGGCAAACAGGCTCTGATCGCGCAATGCAAGCTGGCACTCGCTGCAAGACAGCAACTGTTCTCTTCTATTGCATGTAAATGTACTGCCAATACAGGCGCCCGTTCCCAAGTGATTTGCAACACTGTCAAAATATACCGCTGTGGGGGCTTTCAGGCAACTCTCATCATCACCCACCCTCAAACACAAAGCGCTCAAGCACACTGCCCCGTATCCTAAACCCTAAGATGAACGTGCGGCAAAAGCGGGCGATAAACACACACCGAAGCGTTCTTGACGAAAGGGACCAATTGCAGGCGTCGACAGGTCTTCGGGGAGGTTGCACGTAACGTGCAAAGGCACATGATGGCACTGCTTGACGTCTTGCATTGAAGATGTGGGGTGTCAAAATATGGCCGTGGGTCAAAATCCCGTACCCCCAGTGAACATCCCAATCTCCACTAAAGTAGACTAAAATGGGTGGTGCACCTACCCCAAAATGGGATCCCAAAACGGTTTTGACCCACAGCCACATGACCCTTTTGCGAGCTGGCGCCGCCGCTACGTGCCGCCTAAAGAGGATACCTCAAAAGGGCCGCATCCTCAGAGGATCAAGCCTTCGACTCCATCGAACTGAAAGCTCCGGGGACTTCTCTGCGCCCCATTCGGCGTAAATTTGAAGCGCAGAAAGTTTGCTTACTTCCAGGTCGCGCCAGTTGCGCCGGCTGACCAACCTGTCGATGTTCGATGTTCAAGAAACTTCCGCTAGCATGAATTACCACGAAAGGTGGGGCCAAGCAAAAACACGCAAATGAATATGTTGCTACAGCCATGACAATTGCAAGGTAGAATTTAAACCGCAAAGGTTCAAGCTGGTACATTCCAATGGAGCTGATGGATGTCGCTGTGGCGTTATTCTGCAGGCACACGCCGAGCCCGAGCTGCCTCTTTTTGAGTCAGGAAGCCGTCTTTGTCTCTGTCCAGCATTTCCTTACTTGGCTGCGGGTCAAAAAGATTGGGTAATCCCGAAATGGCTTGCCCTGGTAAATCGAAACCTGGACTAAAACCTGCGGTCCAATTGCTGGTGGCTTAAATTTGACCTACCGACTTTTTCCCAAAAGAGCAATCAAGCACTGACCCCACACATCGAGAACTAAGCACCTCAGCGCCTGTCGAACAGCCCCTCGCCCTCATTTCGATGCCACGCGCGCGCCTGTGCGATGAAAAAATCCGGGCGCGACATCGTGTCAAAAGCAGGCGTTTTGAAGCGGTCCGGGCCTCTTCAGGCCTCGGCTCAGCGCTTAGAAAGCAAGACTTGAAGGGACCCCGTGGCAGATTCACCATCTGAGTCCCAATCACTGGTACTAAAATAGTCCCGGAACCATGTACAAACTTAAGCTATTTATGGTTGGGATCGTCCCTTGCCAACCTTCATCTACCGGGTTTTGATTGTGGCTCGAATCTGTCATCCCATCAGGCTGCGACCCAACAGTAGAGTGGCTCGACTCCATCTGCTGGGAGCTATGCCCAAGAATTGGTCGACAATGTCAAGCAAGGAGCAGCATGCATCGGTCCAACACCAGCGCAATCCACACACAGGCACACACGCACGGCATTTGTGTCAGTCTGTGCGGCTAGACGATAAACAAACATCATACTGAAGCATAGACAATCGAAGCTAACGATCCCAGTGGATTCAATGTTGACATCAAGCTGCATCTGTATTTGAATGTTGGCGTTGCTTCACTACATGTGATTCTCGCCTGAAATGAGAGCGGGCTCTTCATGACATTGTGCCCAAGCTTTGCTGTTTAGCCTTGATCTTCTAAAGCTGCATGGGGCGGTCGAGCATTTAGATCACAATCCAAGTGCAACGATACGCTATTTGGATCGGCAAAATGCGGTATTAGCTTCCGCTCGTCTTTGCGGATGACGTTTTGTCGCCGATTTTCTGGCAACTGCGCGGCTCAGGACTGAGGATAGATGACACACCTTGCATGAGTTGCAAGCAGAAATTCACACAAATCCAGCTGCAGTGACAGGTGAGTCCGCTGCCTGGAGTGCCCTGCACGAACGATTGGCATCTCAAAACCTGTCGATGAGAAGGACTGACATTGAGGCTTGGGCTCCGGTTTACCACATGTGGCTCAAACATTGGCACCCAAATACCCAAATGGCACCTTGGTAAATGGCTGTGGCTTACAAAAATGTCCTAAAATGGCATCTTGGCAACTGGAACCAAAGACTACCACCTGCCTAGCCCCAGCTTTCTAATTTTGAGCCACACATGCAACCTCAGGCAACCCGTGTAACCCGGGTTACTGTTGCGCCGTCGCGCTCGGCTTTCAGGAAGCCGCCGACCGCCGACTCCGCCCGCCTCCTCGCGGCGGTGCGGCGGCGCAGTTCTGCCAGGGCCGGCATTCGGCTCAGCGGGCCCAAGGCCGTGACCTAGCGATGCGGGTCCCTCGGCTTTTGTTGGGGTCTGGCACCCGAATCGGCTTTGGGGATCCGTCTTTTTTTTTGTTCTGTTTCTTTGTTTTTTCGTGGAGGGTGCAATGGATTTGTTGTTCTTGCTGCTTGGTGGCTTGGATTGGTGGTTTAGTGGTTGAGGGGTTTCCCATCTACCCTCCACAAACACCAAGGGTTCAAGTCCGAATCCAAACCAATCCAAACCACCAAATAAGGGTAACCTGAATCGAACTGGGAGACTGAACAAACACGCCCTCGCTCAGCCGCCCGCAGCAACATCCTTGTCGAACAAATGCCTCAAATTCGGGAGACAAGACTGCAATTGGAATTGGTCAAATCAAGCATTCCCGCCAAAAAATGCAGCTTGCATTGGAGCAGTTGCGGGTGGCGAGTGCCAGGCAAGATGCTCGTGTCAGACACTTGCTTCGAGCCAGGCATCCAAGGGAGCTCAAACAAGGCGTGTGAACGCTTTCCTGTGGTGACATAGCAACAGAAATTCCTTTAACCGCCAACCAAGTGGTGGTAATACATTTCCAGACTATCTTGTTGCATTCAAAGGGACATGGACATTCCCTGCACCCCTAGGCCAACACACAGCCTTGCAGGCCATGGTCAGGCATCTCAAGCACCGCATAGTGGCAAGCAAAGTCAACTCAGCTTGCATGCTTTCTGAGCAAAATCATCAGCTAGTATTTTCATCAGCAAAGATTTCATCCAACGAAGCAGCAACAGCAGCAGCAGCAGCAGCAGCAGCAGCAGCAGCAGCAGCAGCAGCAGCAGCAGCAGCAGCAGCAGCAGCAGCAGCAGCAGCAGCAGCAGCAGCAGCAGCAGCAGCAGCAGCAGCAGCAGCAGCAGCAGCAGCAGCAGCAGCAGCAGCAGCAGCAGCAGCAGCAGCAGCAAGCATGCAACTTTTGGCGAGCAAAGGGAGCCAGCATGCCACACTGTTGCCTTGCATCGTCGGCCAATCGAATAAAGACACGTCCTCCTCAACAGCCTATCCAAATGGCAGTCATGGCAGTCATACTCCAAAAAAGGAGAAGCGATGCTCAAGCGCACAAGGAGAAAACAACTGCAGATTATTGTCGTGAATACGATGGGGAACAACATGCTTCTGCCCATGTCACAGACTGGCCAACAGCCTGCTATGTGTCCAACACACAGTGTGCTGAGTGCGCCAGTGGCAGCACCACACGCTGCGCCGAGATTTACCATTGGCTTAGTTGTGAACCGCGCTGTTTGTGCCAGGGAACTTCAGCTGTTCATGCCTTTTGGTATACGGACGCAAACAAGCGGTCGATTTGGCCATGGGTCAAAATCCCGCACCCCCAGTGAACATCCCAATCTCCACTAAAATAGGTTCTAAAATGGGTGGTGCACCTACCCCAGAATGGGATTCCATTGGTTTTGACCCACAGCCATTTCTTCCTGGGGTCCAGCAGCCCTCAAGGCTTGCCAAGCCACTCTCGTGCCACTCGCTTCACCTCGGGCTGCTGGCCGTGAGATTGTTGGTTCCGGGTTTCATTTTCTGAGTACCCTCCAGGCAAACGTACACCCAGAAGTTCCCATTTTGGAGGAATTTGCACCACCACTGGAGTTAAGTCTACCCTGGGGGTCGTGCAAAAATGAAACCCTGGTTGGTTCGCTCTTCAGGAGCGGACGTCCTCGATGTTTATGGCGTCCAGACGCAACAGAAGTTCTGCAAGAGGGATGCCTCAGAACTGGATCAGCCATGACATCTGAGCGCAAAAAACAGCATATCTCTAAAATTTCGCCCTGCTACGCCGCCCGTAGACCAGCAGTTGGCGAGCAATGTCCTGCGCAAGGGGAAAAAAACTAGACCACGGCTGGCCCGAAAGCATAACATCGCAAGCGAGGTTGGCCCAACGCGGTTCGCGCAACTTCTTTCATGATGAGAACTCCTTGCGTCAAACTCCTCGCGATGCTTCGCATGACGCTAACTCCTTGCAACTCTGTGCAAGCTGCTCTGCGCAAGCTGCTCCGCGCAAGTTGCTCCCTGCAAGTTGCTCCCTGCAAGTTGCTCTGCGCAAGCTGCTCTGTGTAAGTTGCTCCGTGCAAGTTGCTCTGCGCAAGTTGCTTTGTGCAAGAAGCTCTGTGCAAGAAGCTCTGTGCAACTGACTCTGTGCAAATGTCTCTGTACAAGTTGCTCTGTGCAAGCTGTTCTGTGCAAGTTGCTCTGCGCAAGTTGCTCTGCGCAAGTTGCTCTGCGCAAGATGCTCTGTCAAAGTTGCTCTGCGCAATTTGCTCTGCGCAAGTCTGCAAAATTATCCGTTGCTCTGCGCCATTGCTCTGTACCAGATACTCTGCGCAAGTTGAGTGTGCAAGTGCTCTGCACAAGTTACTCTGCACAAGTTCCTCTGCGCAAGTCTCTCTGCGCAAGCGCCATTGCGCAAGTGCCCTGCGCAAGTTGCTCTGAGCAAGTCTCCACATCGCTGCCCGCGAGTGCTGTGCAAGTTTCTTTGGGCAAGTTGCGATTTCCAGCCGGAGCTGTCGGAGCGCACTTCCCGTACTACTTTCGCACTTAAAACTTGCGATTTTCAAGCTCCAGCTGTGGGAGTTACAGCGTTCGCTTGCAAAGCCCGCCCGCGGACCAGGGGGGAATCGAACCCGCGACCCGCCGGTCCCGGGAGCAGGCGTGCGAACCGCGAAACGTCAGTTCGAACAGCAACAGCCGCAAAAAACCTCGAGTTTTTGCGCCTCGACCACGCCAATCCCCGCAGAGGGTCAGGGTCGCGCAAGCACCGCAGAAAACGCAAAAAACCTCGAGTTTTTGCACCTCGACCACACCAATCCCCGCAAAGGGTCGATTTTCGTACGGTGTCGTCGGCCCGCCGCCCTAAGAAGAGATTTTAACTCCTCGCAAGTCAATCTCGTGAGCACGGACTTGCAACTTGCGCTTGCAACTTGCACTTGCAACTTGCACTTGCAATGACTCTCATGACTCCTTGCACTTGCAATTTGTACTTGCAATGACTCTCATGACTCCTTGCACTTGCCACTTGCACTTGCAATGACTCTCACGATGATGACTCTCACGATGATGTCTCTCATGATGATGACTCTCATGATGGTGACTCTCATGATGGTGACTCTCATAATGATGACTCTCATGATAATGACTCCTTGCAATGACCCCTTGCAATCACTCCTTGCAATGACTTCCATGATGATGACTCCTTGCAATGACTCTCATGATGATGACTCCTTGCAATGACACCTTGCAATGACTCTCATGAGAACAACTCAAGTGATTCCAGCGGAAGAACCCTTCGCCATGCTTTCGGGAAAAAGAGGGAAAAAAAGACTCACCAAACAAATCTCTGGAAGCGGTGCAGTCAAGCCAGGGCCGTTTTTTCGGGTTGTTCTGCCTTTTTTGGCAAAAAGCTTGGGGCAGCTTCCGCATCTTGCGCAAGGTTCATTGGATTCGAGCGCAAAAATCGGCAAACCACTCCTCTGCAATGGCCGTGGTCGAGTCTAAGCTGCCAAAGAGGGTCGTCTTCAGCTGCCGCTTGCCTCGCTCCACCTGGCCACGGTGGGACCCGAGGGGAAGGGGAGACTTGAGTTGCAGAAGGCCTCTTCTTCCGTGACCGAGAAGGCGAGGTTGCTCACCTGAAGCATGTTCTCATTTGATTGAAGCGACTTCAAGGTTTCTGGAGCAGAATATAAGGTTGATGCCGCAAAAAGCAGCTCGTCCAAGTAGCCATCCAAGGTGTCTTCATCACTCTCCCCATAGAAGCCAAACAAGCCTGTGTCCTGAAAGGTATCTGTGTCTACTAGCCTCTTTGACGGACTCGCATGCAGCATGCCTTGTAGCTAGTGTTGAAGGCCGAGAAAGACTCCGCCCCTGAGCGAAAGTCCCGGAAAGTAACACACCAGTTCCCATGCAATCTCGCCTGGACCCAGGTTGCTCGCAATGCTGTTCGTAATCCTCGCGGCCACCCCGAAAATGTCTCCGAAATGGATCCGTCCATCGACACGATTCCCGAGATCGTGCGCCCGCCTGTTGCTGGACAGCTTGGCGGGGACGAGACCTGGCAGTTAGCTCCCAAATCATCTGCTCTGCATGAAACGACCGCAATAAGTTGGCCCGCCATTGACCCTACGATGCATGCTTCATAACAGAGGCTGCTCATGCTTAGCTGCTTGCGCAGCTCAGAGAAAAAAGAAGAAAAACAAAGAAGAAGAAAAACAAAGAAGAAGAAAAACAAAGAAGAAGAAAAAGAGAGAAGAAGAAAAAGAGAGAGGAAAAAAGGGATAATAATAAAACAAAAACAAAAATACACATAAAAAATCCCGAGCCTTCATTTCGCTTGTAGTTCCCCACAATCGACTGTATCACCTCAACAACTGGCTGTGGGTCAAAACCAATGAGATCCTATTTTGGGGTAGGGGCTAACCACCCATTTTGGTCTATTTTAGCGGGGATTGGGATGTTCACTGGGGGGCACGATTTGGGTTGTGACCCATGGCCAACTCAACCTGCGCCCCTCCCTCCGAAAAATTGTTTGCAGCCGGGCGGCCATGAAGGTCAAGGAGTCTGGATGCGTCCAGGAAACTCGGAGGATCAGAGTCGCATAGGTGTCCTTTTAGGGGAAATAGCCAGGGCCCTGGTAGATTATTAAACCACCAGGTAAACCAGGGCCATCCATTTTTCTAGCAAAATAACCAAAAAGGACACCTATGCAGAGTCACCGCTTCGAGGCGAAGAGCTGCTCTGCCACTCGTCGTTCAACAAAGCTAGGCCGAGCAATGCGTCACTGCCCAAGGTATCACGATTGCCCCCAGGCTTTTGGGAATAAATCTGTCGACATCTCGGCCAAAGGATGCATAAGCTCTTGGTGGGAATCCAAATCTGTCGAAAGCAAAAACAGCTCAAGAGCTCGGCCAAAGGATGAAGAAACCCGCAAAGTTGCAAGTGTTCATGCAACGACCAAAGCTAGGCCGGGCACCGCCCTCAAAGCCCACCGCAAAATGTGCCAGGCTGTTCTCCTGAATGTCTGCCACACAACGCCAGTTGTGAGAGTATCCAGGTGCTCCGAGCAAACTTTGCAATCTGCCTCCTCCGATCTGTATAGAAGCTCGGCTCCATAGAAACTGGGCGTTTCCTGAACATGAAGCTTGCGGCTTCACGCAGGCTCTGCAAGAAAAAACGACCGCCATCTGCCTCCTTCCTTTTGCCAGTGCCCGGGCGGAAGTGGCCTCAGGGTGTGCGTGCCCAGAGCTTGAGGGACAGAGGCGCCTCGACCCCAGATGGGCGCGCAGCAGAAGAGCTCTTCGGAGTGTTGCACCAGCTCGCCATGATCCACCGGCCCGGCTGCGGCTACCACCTTGGCTGACAAAAAACGTAGCGGACATGAGTCCTGCCGCGTAGAAAAGCGTGAGCTCTGCCTCCCTTTAAAAAAACAGGTCAGCAAGCTACGAACAGCAGCCACTGCCATCATAGTCTCAGTTCTTCAGATTAGCCTTTGAGCAATGGAAAGGTCCTAGCAACGAACAACCGTCCGGCAAGCAATCCAGCCGTAGGATCCTGTCATCCAGCAAGGAGCAGCCATTCAGCAAGTTGGATAGCAAGTTGCGACGCTGACACATCCCACCGATCATCAACATCAAAACAGCGGCCAAACACCGGAAGCGCGAATCGGCGACCTTGAATGGTTGCTGCGTCTTGAAAATGCAAAAAACATCCTAGGACATTTGAGCTGTCGGAGTGCCGTGGAGAGGCGCTTGCCTTTCTGAACAGATGGTCCGCTGGCTTCACTGGCCCCCTCGGTTTAGACCCCTGGCTTGCCCTTCCGGGCGATAACCCCTGTACCATGAACGCCAAGAAACATCCAGTTAAGTATGTTCGTGCTGAATTCGGTGTAGACAGGAGTTCAAGCGATTCAGCGTAACTGCACATCCTAGCACTACACAATTGAACCATTTGTGCGTATTCAATTTGGGTCGAGCAGAACAATACACCACTACAAGTCTGGAAAAGCCAGCTCTATGCGAGTTGACACAATCACGGCACGACTAAGGCAACTACAATCCGGTCTGCCAAGTAGTTGGTCTCCACATACTCTCGCAAATGTTCACGAGTGATTGACCTGCCCATGTCTCTCACTTTCCTGGCCGTCCTAATCTTGCAAATGCATGCCATGCTAAGAATCCAACTGAATGTTTTCAACTGGCCCCAGGATAGTAAAGCCCAGCCTGAGTCAACATAAAAATTAGCGTGAGTCACCCATGGCATTCGAAAGTTGGATTTCCTTCAAGGGCAGAGCGGACTGCCATGGAAGGCGGTCAAATGCAAGCGATCCAGCAGCACCTGCAGGTTGCTTGGGCCGGCTGGTTTCTTTCTCCGTGCATGCAGGATCGCCGATCGCCGCCTGGCCTCCTCCGTGGTTTTCTCCACCTCTTCCATTTCTCGCAGAATCACCCCTCGTTCGAAGTCCAGCGGGCCCCTGCAAGGCCAGCGCAAACAAAAAAACACAGGTCCACCCAAGCAGATTCAAGGCATGAAGGGTAGGCCGCCGGCGGATCAAGCGTGGAATGCTGCAGGATGTCTGCCAAGATGTCAACACCTGAGGCGATCTGGCGAAAAGTCCCCGTCGACTTGGCGGGGTTAAGAGCCCATCCATTACGCAGGTCGCTTCCAAAGCACTTGGCATAATATACCTGGCCAGCCAACCCGTGCCAAACAAACGATGAATGATCAGTGAAGCCATCCTCAAGATGTGCAGCGGATTCAAACCAACGATCAAATGGCACCTCTGTCTTGGTGCATACAGAGATCGACTTGTATCATAGATGTCTGTGAGGCATGTGCTTAGTATCAAAGCCAAGAAAATACCGCAGCCAAATATGTGCTGCATTGTAACACCACCGAGACAAAGAGAGAGAGAGAGAGAGAGAGAGAGAGAGAGCGAGCGAGAGAGAGAGAGAGAGACAGAGAGCGAGAGAGAGAGAGAGAGAGAGACAGAGAGCGAGAGAGAGAGAGAGAGAGAGCGAGGGAGGGAGGGAGGGAGGGAGGGAGGGGAGGGGGATGGGGCAGCACAGTACTGTGCCGTTAAATGCACCGGCAAGCTGGCGATTGGGGCTAAATGGGAGCGGTGGAAAAGTGACGCTGCGAAGCTGACGTAGTGCTCTCGGAGGCTTTCAGAAGTGCTGAGCGAAGCACTGGGAAGCTTGGAAATCCTGCGATAAGGGTGTGCTAGGGTTACGCAGGTTTTGGTCTTTGGCTCCATTTAGCAAGGTGCCATTTTGGTACATGTTTGTGAGCCACAGCCATATTGGCATGGCAAGGTCAGAATGATGGGTCGGCCGTTCAGAAGTGGTTCAGGGGGAAAAAAGTAGGAGAGAGGAATCGCGAAAGGAAAGCGTTGCTGTACAGTGCTTGGTTGGATGGTCACGACCGGATGGAGGAGAGTGAGGTTGTAGTGACGGTGTAGTGACAGTGCAGGTGACTGCAGTTGGGAGGGGTAGGATTGAGGAAAGTGGCATACGGCATACGCATAGTACATCCCCTTTCCGAGTTGGAAAGGGCAAGGGACCCTTGCGGCTTGGCTGCTGGCTACTGCGAGGGTGCTGCAACTGCATGTCGCGCCGTAAGCAAGGGCGCGTGCCATGTTTCAGGCAGGGAGCAGCGCAGGCAAGTTCAAGGCTTACAGCAAAATTCAAGGTTCTATCATTTGCATATCGCCTGCCCGTCTGCCGATGTCCCGTCCAACGATGGAACTCTCTGCAGCGGCTGGTGGCAAGCGGCAAGGCGGCAGGTCCAGGCGGCAGGCAGAGGCAATGCGAGGAGCGTTGCGGCCACTGTATCAATTGACAACCAGTTCTCTCTCCATCTCTCTCTCCCTCCCTCCCCCATCTTCAATCTTACTGAAGCACCTTCACGAAAAGAACAGCCTCCTCACTTCGTGCCTTGAAACCTGAACAGAACCCTAAACATCAAAGATGTCTTGTGGGGAAGAAGCAGGCAAACCTTTGCCCACGACAAAGCTGCCATGTGATAAGCATACTGGCCGCAGGCCCTCATCATTTGCTACTTGCTTACGCGGCGCCTATGCCATGCCTACGCGAAACGCAACAATCCCACAAAAATGCCTACGCGAGACTGAGCTGACTAGACACCTGCCTACGCGGCCCACACGGCCTACGCGACAACGAGGAGCTCAACGCACTTTTTACACTCGGCTACGGAGAGGTTCGTCGCGATCGCGCTTGGACGGGAGCACGGTGGAAGGCCACGAAGACGACGAGCTTCAAGTCGGCTGCGCTAGGCTGCAGTAGAGGAACGGGGTGAAACGGAGGGTGTCGCGAAGGGCCTCCAGTCAGATGATAGACAAAATGCCTACGCGAAGCCTACGCGGAGCCTACGCGGCGCCTTCGCGAAATCCGCCTGTGTCTTTTTGAATTTCGGAGAATGCTCTTTACCTATTAGCGAAATGGGTCTAGCAGCCGCGCCGCAGTACGAGTTGCCAGCTGAACTGCTGGACAAGCGCCCTCCGCCAACCACCCTTGCGCCGCCATGCTGCAACAGCTGACGAAAAGCTGCTACCCACAGCTTGCGCCAAACTGCCGCGCACAAACAGTTGTGTGCATCACACAACTCAAGCTCATAAACGGCCGCCTAGGCGACTATGCGAAACTTCGCAACACGAGCCTCCGCGAAATGCCTACGCACTCCTACGCATTATGTCGCCGCGAATATGTGTGTCTTCATTTATTGTTTATTGTTGTTCATTTGTGTTTGTTATTTAAAAAAGGGGTCAACGTGTTGAGAAAAGAGCGCCAGTCGCGTCCGTGTGTTGTAAAACGATGGTGGAATTGCATGTTGTGCAAAACGATCGCGAATCGGTGCTGTAAAATCTGGGCTGTCCTCAGATCCCCCGCTAAAAGTTTCATTTTTAGTGGTTTAATGGAAAATCCATTAGTTTGCAAAAAGTTAAAGTCCTAACATCCAAGCACCAAAGAAATGATGGCCCCTCCCAGCTGGGTGTCTCAGAGGCACTTCTCAAAGGTCACAAGCCAGCAAGACCGTTTGCTCTCGCGAGGTGTATGCATTCAGGTGCCCGCCCATGTTCTCGATCTCCTGGCAATGCTTCTCTGCACAAGCAGTATGCAACAATCTGCCATGAAGCCTAGCAACTTTTCCTCTTGAGTCGTCATTCGTCCTGTTCGAGCTGAATTCTGCTCCGCCTCTTGGTGCCCTTAAACGCCATGTGCTCAAGGAAGTGCGCCGTGCCATTGTTCTCCTGCACTCGTCGCGTCAAGAACTTTGCACCTTGCACTGAGTAGCTTGGAAGCCGCGGGAGAGAGGAAAAAAATGGTGCGGTCCTTCGTTTCAAAGCGACTTCCTGCATCAATCCAAACGCCCACGGTAACCGTCTCCTGCCATGCCAGGGCCGGCTGCTCCACTGTCAAACAGAAAAAACGCTCTCAGAACATGTCAAGTCGCCAGGGCCGCATCAGGAGTGTATTGCGAAGCAACCCGCATGCCGCTGGCAAGTCTCGTGACCTGTATGGGCTGCATGGGCAATCACTGAGGTTGACCCCAGATTTTCATCAACCAACCCAGTTTGTGAGTAGGGGGGTGGTTTTGGCCCCTCCAAAATGTGGTCTGGTTCCAACCACTAAACCCAGAAATGGACACCCCCCTATTAATAAACTGGGGTTGAAATATGGGGTCAACATTACATGCCACGTGTCATCTATGACCAATCCATGACGATTCTGCCATGCAGATTGCCTTGGTGGGTGGCTGCTGGTACGCTGCAAGTTCACCCTGCAAGGATGACATTCTTCGCGCTCTCCCATAGAGGCTGCGAATAGCATGCCTGATCAGCGTGTGCACAAACCGCATTAAGATGTCGCGGTTCCAAATTCCGTTGGGGTCTGCCAGCGTTGCCTCCCCACCGGAAGCCTCACAAAGATCGAACGCAAATCACAGGCATCGACTGATCTTTGCTCTAGAATGTTGTGCGGGCCTGAACATGACGCTCTTTGCTCAAGCCTCCGAGACGACCGACACTGAATGCGGTTCCATGTCCGCCAACCCTCTCGGAACGGCGAGGCGCAGGAAAAGGACGGCAACGTGTCGTCTTTATACTGATCATTGCTTCACTAGGCAGCATTATCATCTGTTAAAGTCGGTATCCTGATCATGTAACGGCGATGCTGCTGTTCCTTTGCTCTATTGCTACTTATTTCTCCCAGGTCCATTCAGAAGCTGTGCCGGTGCTGAGTGTGCAGCTGCAGTGATGCTGTGGCAATGCTGGGGAGGCAAAATGCCGGGATTTTCAGCGTTCCTCGATTTGTTTAGCGGTACGGACCGGCGCCCGGCATCAGCACCCGAGTTTGGCAACGTGCTTCGGTCATCACCCCCATCATCACCAGTGAATTAGTGAAGAAAACAAGTCATATATACGCCCTGGTGGCTATGCTGGGGTTGCGAAGAGACGTCACATATTTCATCCCAGATACTGGCCATAAACACATGTTGGCAGCATTTTGTTGCAGCTCGCAATGGTGTCCCCAAATGGCCAGGCTCTAAAGAGTAGGTCAGCCGCACAGTTCCCTTTTGGGCACACCCTCACGTTTGCCTCTTAGTGCACATGGCCCTGTATTGTGCTGATGTGTCTTGCTTCAAAACCAAACTGAAAATATATTGCGGATTATATCTTGGCAAGTTCATTGTGTTTCCTTGTCAATTTGAAGCTAGGGGTAATATTAGCAGGCGAGATTCCAAGCTCAAAAAACAACTGCATCGTTGGTTTTGTTTCGGCTTCTCTTTGGCTTCCCTTTTGTGCTCTTTTGGTTTCCCCTTTGGCTTCGCTTGAGTTCCCTTTGGTTTCCCTTTCCTTTGGGCTGCTTCTGATTTCCCTGTTACAAAATGGAAACGCCAGGGTCAAGCGTTGGACGACGTTGTGAGAGAGCATCAATCGTCGGCGAAAAAGGGGCGGCAGCCCGAGCAATTCAAGCTACCACCGCTGCAATTCAAGCCGCCTGCACCTCAGGGAGCATATCAAGTTTGAGGCAAACCAAGAATCAATGTATGTCAGGTGATGTGGGAGTTCTGAGGCTAAGAGCCAAAGAGCTGTTTCTTTGCGAATGGCAAAAGACTGGTGCTCAAATCCAGCAACTCGTGCACACTTATGGTAGCTAAATCGCTCTGCTGAAGCCAGAACAGTCAGTCGAGCTGCCAGTACGAAGGGAGTCTTGGTGAGAAAATATCTGATCCCGTCCATGCCATACCTGGACTACGTGTTTTCTTTTTTTTCCGGCCAGAATGAATATTGGCATGGCCAATGGAAAACCAGCTTGAACGACAATGGCTAGCAGGACTTGCTTGGCAACCTGCGGCGCCAGCACGCTCAGCTGAATTCAGTTGCCGTGCGTGCTAAAGCACGCGAGATGCATTATCAGCAGTATCAGATTCTATCCCAGGAGATGCAGATTCCATTGATGCGTTGCGGCAGCTCCCATCCATTTGACAGCCTTTCTTTCAAAAAGGCTGTCAGCATGCAGTTTCAATAAGTTCCAATGCACAACGCAGAACACATTTTGAGCCAACGTTTCTTTCCAACGGCAAAAGCTGGCCGTACTTATAGCTACAAGTGAGCAATTATGAAGGGTCTAGGCCGCGCGTCCCACTCTCGCTCAGGTTCCTCGGCACGGTCGCCGGGATCCACCGGGTTGTTGGCTCGGTCAAAGAGACTCGGATTGGCTCAGCGGCGCACGCAGCGATATCCCAATGCCCGATGCGAGCGCGCGCATCTCGTCTCGCAGGCCGTGCACGCCTGCCGGCAGCGGTTTTTGTTGTGCGAAAACAGAACATGAGTCATAATCAAAACCCGGCACTAAAATGGTCGGGACCCAGAACCATGATTCAAGAATGAAGCAGGCGGATATCCGCAGCTGTTTGTGGCAAGGGGATTGTCTCTTAAGCTTCATCTACCCGGGTTTTGATTGCAGGGGTACGCTTTAACCGCACGTCGCCGGCCTGTTTCCACCAGCTCCATTCTCCGGTCAATACTCCGCTCCAGCGCAGAGATTTGCCGGCGACCCTGAGGCACAGTGATTGCACATCTACGGCTTTTCTTGCTCGAGGGACCTCCTTCAGTGACCGCCGCAATTCACAGTGCACCGCCATAATATCTTTGGCTTTTGCACTGCCAATGACCTGCCGAATGCGCGTTCGCAGCAGCATCTCATTCACAAGCTTCCCAGCCTTCAGAAGACCTCCAACAAACTCTGAAGCATCGAGGCAGCCACTCCCATCATAGTCCAGAATACTGCAGTGGGACAAAGGGACCATGAGACGGCCATGCCAGGGTCTTTTGCGGGTTGCAGTCTTCTGCCGTGTAAACAAGCAATCCCCCAACGCTTCTTGCGTTATCGAATTTCCCGTCTGCAATGTGGGCTGGTTGGTCGGGTGGTTGGTCGCTTGGGCCGGGTCACGGGGTCTGGAGAGGCAGGCCAGGCGGAAAAACTTTGGCCACGGCGGGTTTGCCCGCACAGCTGTCGCCGGGGGCTCATCGGTTCGGTTAGGCGCAGCTAGGTGACAGCGTTTAAGCATGAAAGGCACGGCCGTAAACACGACATGTCGCTACAAAGGTTAGGACACCCAGTTAGCAACTATCTCGTTGGGGCACAAACACCTCAAAAGGGGCGGCGGGAATAGCAGAGAGCGGCAAGCTGGGCAGACTTCGAATGATGCTCAGCCTCTTCCCTATCCTCCCCCACTTCCCAAACCACTCAGAACGACAGGGCCCACTTCCCTTTTGCATTTATCATCAAATTGAACCAAACAAAAACGTCAAAATCTTCAAGAAACGACGCTGCAGCCCAAGACCCGGGCGTGAACAAGTACTCAGCTTCATTGGGGTCTATTCCGAGCTCTTCGAAGTACCTCGAGCTCAAGTCTTCTGATCGATCGCTCAAAGTGAACCACCTTTCGTGGGTGAAATTCGGACACCCAACCAACCCAACGGAAAAGATCCAAAAAACGCGTTTCGGAATCGGATGGCGGGGAAAAGGAACCAAGATCAGTGACGTTGCACCTCGAGACCTTTGGCTGCTCAATCTGCTCAAGGAACTCCTCTTTGGTGAGCACCTGGCTTTTTCGCGCACACAAAAAGTTCCAGGGGTACCTGCCATGTCCATTCTTTCCAGGGATCCGAATCTTTTCAGGAAACCATCCAGAAACCGAGGGGAAACGGATCTGGTTTTTGAAAAGGACGATGGTTGAAAAGAATGGAAATGGAATCAACCCCCAGAAAAGTGGCGTTGTTTCGTCTCGAGGGAATAAAGAAACAGCTCCTCGCTCGCCCCAATCGATGTATTGAGGCAAGCACGCCATCTTGGTCGGCGTCACCGTCCAGGAACACCTGTGAGGCCCCCGGAGGCTTTGTGAATCCATCACTGGGTTCTAAGAAACCCACTACAGGAAATTCTATAGGAAAACCCCATTTTGGTGGGTATTTGACTAACTTCCTGTAGAATTTCCGGTAGGTGGTTTCTATGGGTGGTTGGACTTGGCCACACGAGCCTTGTAGACTTTCTCATAAGCTTTCCGCAGGTCTTCTAGCCTCAGAGCGTTCTTTTTGTTGCCCGCACTTTGCTTTTTTTAAAGGTACGAGGATCTGGCCGCTTCTCTGCCGACTTTAGCTTGCTTTGGTCGGCCTGCGCAACAGCTCGTGCCGTGAAACACCACCCACTCACCCCGCCCCAGAGTTCAGCAGCGTGAGCCTCGTCGAGCGTGCTCTCCACGATCACTGCGATCATGACATTCAGAATTGCAAAGGTGGTGACCTGCAGCGCAAACTCTCTTGAGATTGGTGCAACACGAGCATCTCAAAACAGAATTTCAAGGAAGGCAAGGAACATGCTGGAGATAAGAAGTACTTCCTAAGCATCCAACATGAAGGTAAAGGATGAAGAAGCCGGCGGTCCAAGGTTGGTGCTTCATCACCTCCGCCGGGAAGCCCAGCGAAGCTGCACCAAAGAAACTCTCCCCCGCCTCTCGGGCGATGTCTGCCCAGCCCTCCGTGGTGGTGGTTTGAAAAAGGGTCAGCATGGTCCTGGCGCGAATCTTCGCAACCCAATCGATGCTCAGAAATGCCACCTCGACATGGAACCAAAATACTCGTCGAAGAATGCTTCGCCTGCAAGAACACCCAAACTCTTGCAGTGTGCGACATACGGCCATGGGTCATAACCTATGCCTCCATTTTGGGGCGGATGAACACCCATGTACCACCTGTATTGATGTTCACCAGGGGTACAGGGTTTTGACCCACAGCCATACAGGAACACCTTGGCTGGTCTGGTTGCAGGGCCTCGATGTGCTTGTCCAATTAGGCGGGTTGCAATGATGCTAAAGATGTAGATGACAATGGCTAGAAGTATCCACCTCAAGTATGTTGCTGACAGACTTCCTGAAAATGGGCATGGGACAAAATTAGACCACCAGGGACCGCATACATTGGCCCATGCTTCAATTTACCAGGTTCCTTTTTGGGTACCTATTTGACCCACGGCCAAATGATGCTGTTGCCGGTTGGATATTTGAGGTGCTACGATACTCAACTGCCTGAGCCTCCGGCGTCCAAAAAAGCGTCCAAGCCGCGTTCAGGATGCCCCTCACCAGCTTCCAAAGACCGCCTAGGACCCTCAGCAGCCTGGCATACCACACGCTCAGCTCACCCCTCACCTCTGACACTTGGGTATGGGACAAAATTTAGCCACCAGGGGACCGCAGGTTTTAGTCCTTGGTTCCATTTACCAGGGTTCCATTTTGGGTACCCATTTTTGACCCACAGCCACTTCAACCTCAAAGTCAAAGGCCTGAAGACCCTGATCACCCGGATGAGCCGCAGCAGGCGAAGAACTGAAAAGCTGCCCAAGTCAGAGTTCCTGATCCAACGCAAACGCCATAGTCGCGCTTCAGCTACGATGCAGCAAGCAACAACTAGGTGCCTCAAGCTGAGAGTAAGAATGTTGTCGACCTCAGTTGCTGATCTGGTCTGCCACAAATTTGTCATGGCTTCAGTACAAATCTGACCTGAGCTCCCTGCAACCGACACTGTCACAATGGACAAATCAAACATGTTCCTGGCCGCCATCAATGTCACCATGCATCGCGGAGTCCATTCGCTCCGACAAAAGCGCGGTCCATCCGCTGTAGAAGAAGCGCTTCACAGGGATTGTCCCCTCAGCATGCGCTCATCTGGGCTAAAATCCCGACGACATTTGGGTCACAATCCAAACCCCATTCAAAATGGTCGGGACCCCGAGCCATGAATCAAGTTAAGAAGGGGAGATCCGCATTTTTTTCTTTGGCAAGATTGTCCCTTAACCTTCAACCCGAATCCGTTTGGAGCCCGTGGCTCCTCAGCATCCAAGGGCCCAGCCAGGAAGCGAAGCAGCAGCTCAAGGGCAAATATCACCGAAAAAGTAATCTGACGAGGCGAGCCGGCCGGAAATCTTCTGCAGGCACCCGAAAAGAAAACAAAACTCGGCCGACACCTGCATAAGGCCGGCGAAAAGGAAAAAAAAATCGGCTGACATCCCACTGATGGAGCTATTATCATCTGCAAAACTTTCATGCCACGGCCACTGAAGGCGGGGCTTGCCAGTCATAAATGCGAGCCTCGCCTCCGCAGCTGCCCAACCGGATCTATCTGCATTAGGGTTGGCATCTACATCATTGGCGTCCACCTCTATGCCCATGTAGACCTGCCCATGGACGTGTCCTTTCTCTTCTTGCATGACTGTGCTTCAGCTCAATCAATTGACTGCATTTTTCTTATCTGCGGGTGTTGGGTCACATCTTTACCGGGGCTGCGGCTGCATTGGCAGTAATGATAAAGGCGACGGTCAACACAAACGCGCGGCTGCGAACTGCCTGGCTGAAGCCAGCATCGGAAGCCAAGAGGGCATGACAAATGGAAGCATTCATCGCAACGCATGACCCGCCTTTTGAAGCCGTTTCCGAGATGCAGTGGTGCACACCTTGAAAAACCAAAAAGATGGCACTTCGCAAATAGATATTCACATGTTTTGTCTTGCTGGTGCTCAGTGGGGAATGTGGGAATGAAGCCCTTAGAGGGAACCACCAGTTGGATGGTGTTTCTCGGGGTTCCATTTCTCCTTCCCCTGCATCTCTCCCCCTATCGCGTGCTGTTATAATTTAAGAAAAAACATGTTTGTTGTACCAAAAAACATGCGCTGCCCGCGCTGAAACAGAAATCCGCAGGAACAAAATGCGTCCGGCCTTCCTTATGAGTCCAGGATCTTGCACCACTTCCGCATCTTCTGCGGCTTCCACGGCCGCTTGGGCTTGCAGCGCGTGAGTGGCTTCGTCCTCACAAACGGCTTCGGCTTGAAGCAGTTGAAGCAGCGAGCAGCGCGTCTAGCAAGGGTGGTTTTGGTTTGGGGGAAAGCTTGAAAACCAAAATCTCGCCTCCCGAGTAGACTGGCCGAACATGTCCAAACTTTTTGTGTACCATCAACAAGCTCTTCCCAAAAAGCTTCAAGTCCAGGAACTCAAGAAGTGAGTTCCAAGGAAACAACCACCATGTTGGGGACTTCCCACATCTCAAGACACGCCCGAACCCTTCCATCAATCCATCGACTCGGCCCACGCCGCTCCGCCAATGAGACCCGGCGACGGTTCATGTTGGCCGGCGCCCGGTGCGGCGCCTGGGCATGAGACGGACGCCGAAGCTCAGAGACTGGCAAGGGAAGCACGAAGTGTCCATGCGGCTCACAAACGTGTACCAAAATGGCACCAAAAGGTAAATGGAACCAAAGACTAAAAACTGCGCAATCTTGGCTCTTTAATTTGGAGCCACACCCATGTGAGGGTTGATCAATATTAAAGGTCCCGAATTTTCATCATCAACTTGTCCCATATGCAAAAGGTATCATCTGTTTAGGTAGTTTCATCCCGCTGTGGATGGAAATGCGAAATCCACTTCGCACCACGAAATGAAGCATGGTCGAAGCCATAACATTGGTTGGTATTTACTTTAGGGGAATCCTCAGAAACATTTGGTTTCTGAATGGTGGTGCGAAATGGATTTCGTCCATCCACAGTATGGTTTCTTTTTCAGGGAACCTCCAAAAGTGGCGATGACAGCAAATCGGTCAACTTTTGATTTGGGGGATACATGGGATGACCATTGCTTGGGAAACCACCAAAAAGAGATGATAGTGCAACCACTAAGCTGGCAAAAGTTACACATGGTCATTTGGGGCCGAACGGAATATTGCAATCCCTATGTTGGCATTCGGCAACAAAACAACAAAAGAGCGCCGGGTTCTCGTCCATTGTTCCAGCTTTCAAAAACTTGTATCGGAATGAGCAGTCAGAAGCAGCGCGCGCGTTTAGATATGTTTAGATTTTTGCAACGCATCTTGAAGCAACTTTACGTTGCCATGAGATTTCCTGCAACCCGAATGACACTAAAAGTTCTGGAGTAACAAACATACAAATCTTCCAGGGTGCTGTGCCAGCCCAACTGGCAATGCAAGCAATATACTGCCTGCTGCTGGAAAGTAGAGTAGCAGAGCGCGCATCGGCACAAAACAAGGTCCGGTCGCACAAGTGCAAAGGGTACTGGAGACCGTTCCTTTGCGACCCGTCACTGCCACAAAGCAATCAAGCCTAGGAAACAAAACTCGCAACTGTTTCGCCCACTGAGATATTCTTGACCAAATTGTTTCCCATCCAGCCACGACATGGCCAGACTTCGCGCTGTTCGCAATGCAGCGTTGTGATTTAGGGCGCTTGGCCTCTCTGCCAGCGTAATCCGGTGCGTTCCGAGGGCAGCACTGACTCTTCGTCATCACCGCTTTCGCTGCTTTCGTTGCCTCGAACAACTGACAGAGCCAGAAGCTGATCAAGTCTTGGTCGCAACGCTGAGCGCCGGTGCTCCCAGAGCTAGAAAAGGAAGCAGTCGCTCTGCTGGCATGCACGTTCTGTCCTGAGAAAACTCATTTCCAGCTTCCCAATCTGCGCCAGAATTGCAGGGACATGCTGTGGATGGACGAAATCCATTTCGCACCACCGTTCAGAAACCCTGGTTTCTGATGATTCCCCAGCGCAAATACCAACCAATGTCATGGCTTCAACCATGGCTTTCTTTCGTGGTGCGAAATGGACTTCGCAAGCATCACAGTAGCTAAGATCATAACCATGACCATGCTCCGGAAGTTGAAGTTGGCCAGGTAGCCCTGCTGACTCCCCTGCTGCCGGGGTCACAGGAAGCATACCTGTCGCACCAGTGCGAAAGCTCGGGGTTGTCATATAGATTGCTGTTGTGGCTGTTAAAGATTTTGGGGTTGTATTATTAGCGTCTAACCGGGATTTATGTATTTGCGGGAATGCTTTCTATTGAGTGTGTGTGTGTTTGTGCTCGTGTTGATCATGCAGCTCGCTGGCTATGCTTTTCGTAACGTGTTGCGAGCTGGTGACAGCCTGGCGGTGACATTGCCTGTGGCTTGGTGGCAGTCTCAGCGCCGCTCTGCTCCTGCTCCTGCTCCTGCTCCTGCTCCTGCTCCTGCTCCTGCTCCTGCTCCTGCTCCTGCTTGTGGCAGGTAGCAGTAGTTGTTGGTGGCTGTTCTTGCAGTTGCTGCCGTCGCCACCGCCTTTTTGTTGCTGCTGATGCTACTATTGCTGCTGCGGTATCGGTATCCTTGCTGTTTCTGCTTCTGCTTCTGCTCCTGCTTCTACTTCTGCTGCTGCTTCTACTTCTGCTCCTGCTACTGTCGCTGCTGCCGCTGTTCTGTGGCCGTCGCTGTCGTCGCTGTCGTCGCTGTCGTCGCTGTCGTCGACGTCGTCCTCTTGTTGCTCATGTTCTGCTAAGGGGTTTGGATACGGCAACGCACTGAAAGCTAGCTCTCCGAGACAAGCGGCCAGACAGGAGCAAGCGCGCTAGCCTGATCGCCCCGGAGCGCATTCGGAGCGATCTTGGAGCAGGCTCGGAGCCGGGTCCATGTTAATGCACATTTACGCCCAAATTTTGTGGCAGGCGCAGCACTTTCGCGAGGTCAGGCCCAAATTTCGTGGCAGGCGCGGCACTTTCGCGAGGTCAGGCCCAAATCTCGTGGCAGGCGTAGCACTTTCGCCAGGTCAGGCCCAAATTTCGTGGCAGGCGCAGCACTTTCGCGAGGTCAGGCCACAAATTTTGTGGCAGGCGCAGCACTTTCGCAAGGTCAGGCCCAAATTTCGTGGCAGGCGCAGCACTTTCGCGAGGTCAGGCCCAAATTTTGTGGCAGGCGTAGCACTTTCGCGAGGTCAGGCCCAAATTTCGCGGCAGGCGCAAGCACTTTAGCGAGCTCAGGCCCAAATCTCGTGGCAGGCGTAGCACTTTCGCGAGGTCAGGCCACAAATTTCGTGGCAGGCGCAGCACTTTCGCAAGGTCAGGCCCAAATTTCGTGGCAGGCGCAGCACTTTCGCGAGGTCAGGCCCAAATTTCGTGGCAGGCGCAGCACTTTCGCAAGGTCAGGCCCAAATTTTGTGGCAGGCGCAGCACTTTCGCAAGGCCAGGCCCAAATTTCGCTGCAGGCGCAGCACTTTCGCGAGGTCAGGCCCAAATTTCGTGGCAGGCGCAGCACTTTCGCAAGGTCAGGCCAAAATTTCGTGGCAGGCGCAGCACTTTCGGAAGGTCAGGCCCAAATTGTGTGGCAGGCGCAGCACTTTCGCGAGGTCAGGCCCAAATTTTGTGGCAGGCGCAGCACTTTCGCAAGGTCAGGCTCAAATTTTGTGGCAGGCGCAGCACTTACGCGAGGTCAGGTCTACATTGAACGCGGCAGCGCAGCACACTCCGCAAGGTGAGGCCCGGGTTTCGTTGCAGGCACAGCACTTTGGCAAGGTCAGGCCAGATTTCGATGCAGGTGCAACACTTTCGCAAGGTCAGGTCCAAATTTCGTGGCAGGCGAGCACTTTCGCCAGGTCAGGCCCAGATTTCGTTGCATGTACAGCACTTTCGCAAGGTCAGGCCAGATTTCGTGGCAGGCGCAGCACTTTCGCAAGGTCAGGTCCAGATTTCGTGGCACACGCAGCACTTTTCAAGGTCGGGCACAGATTTCGTGGCAGGCACTTTCGCGAGGTCAGGCACAGATTCGTGGCAGGCGCAGCAATTTTGCAAGATTGATAGATAGAGAAGAGAGAGATAAGATAGATAAGATGGGTAAGATAGATAAGATAGCTAAGATATATAAGATAGAAAGAGACATAGATAGGTAAATTGATTGATAGGGAGAAAGATAGATCGATAGAATTGAGGGATTAGATAAACTAGATTGGTTAGATGGATTGGATAGATTAGATGAATTAGGTAGGATTGATACATTAGACAAATACAGAGACAGACAGACAGACAGACAGACAGACAGACAAATAGATGGATGGATGGATGGATGGATGGATGGATGGATGGATGGATGGATGGATGGATGGATGGATGGATGGATGGATGGATGGATGGATGGAGAGAGAGAGAGAGAGATTGGTACTTTGCAGGAGAGAAATATATAAGTATAGACAAATAGATAGATAGATAGATAGACAGATAGATAGATGGATAGACGGATGGATGGATGGCTAGATTAGGTAGGTAGATAGATAAGAATGATAGATAAGGTAGATAAGATAGATACGATATGACAATAATAAACCAAAAAGGAGATAAGATAGGATAAGATAGACATGATAGATTTAAAAAAAAAAAAACAAAATAGACAAACAGTTTTTAGATGAATAGATCCTGTAGATTGAGAGATAGATACAAAGATAGATAAGATAACATAAGATAAGATAAGATAGAAAAGATAAATAGATAGATAGATACATAAATAGATAGATAGATAGGCAGGCATAAAGATAAACAGATAGATAGATAGATTAGATAGATAGATAGATAGATAGATAGATAGATAGATAGATAGATAGATAGATAGATAGATAGATAGACAGACAGATAGATAAATAGATAGATAAATAGATAGAGAAATAGATCGGGAGAGAAGTAGATAGTTTTAGAGACAAATAATTAAACTACAAAGCTTAGATACATTAGATACATTAGATATGATTACTCATTAGATTGAATGGGTTTGATTAGACTAGATTCGACAGATAGATACATAGATAGATTGATAGATAGATAGATAGATGGATAGATGCATAGATAGATAGGTAATAAATTAGGTAGCCAAAAAGGCAGATAGATAAATAGACTGATATATTGTCTAGATAGAGAAACTGTCAGATAGGTAGATGGATAGACAGCTACATAAATAGATAAATACATAGAGTAGATACCTAGAATAGATACATAGATAGATAGATGTATAGATGGAAAGACATAAGGATAGAAAAAAGAGAAAGGAAATGAAAAAAGCAGAAAGAGAGAGAACAAGAGAAGAAAGGAAAAGAGCAAGAGAGAGAGAGAGAGAGAGAGAGAGAGATAAAAAGAGAGAAAGAGAGAGAGAGAGAGAACAAGAAACCGGGAGAGAGAAAGAGACATAGAGAGAAAGACAAAGGGAATGATAACTATAATTCTTACATGATTGAAGCTTTCGCCCACCGGCTCCGCCTGCTCTAGTGGTATGATTGTTCTTGTTATTGTTCTTGTTGTTCTTGTGCTTCTTGTTCTTGTTGCTGTTCGTGTTGCTGCTGTTGTTACTATTATTGTTACTGTGATTGCTCTTGTTGTTCTTGTTCTTGTCCTTGGTGTTGGTGTTTTTGTTGTTACTGTTGTTCTTTGTCTTGTTGCTGTTGCTGCTGTTGCTGTTGCTGCTGCTGCTGTTGCTGCTGCTGCCGCTACTGCTTGTGAGTGTTGTTGCTGGTGGTGGTTGTCGTGGTGGGTGTCGTGGTGGTTGGTGGTGGTGGTGGTGGTGGGGGGGGCGGCGGCGGCGGCGGCGGTGGTGGGTGGTGGTGGTGGTGGAGGCGGTGGTCGTGGTGGTTGCAGGGTGCCGCCGCAGGGTTTCCCAGGGATGGAGGGTGCTGCTGCGGGGTGCAGGGTACTGCTGCTGTGCATTTTTCGCGGCACTGTTGCTCACGGTCCTCTGTGTAGGATGTTGGAGTGCTGGAGCGCTGGGTGTTGCCGCGGAAAAACATATCTGGGGACTATGCCGGTGTACTTTGTTCAAATTATGTTTTGCTTCATGCATGTGTCTTCCCAAGGTTGGATCACATTCCGCAGTCAGTCTTACTCACAGTGGCTTCCATCCACTACTGCAGATTCTGTGAATGCCAAACAGAATGCGCAGTATGACATTAATGTCTGGTATTGTGTGGATGCCCAGCAAACAGCGGATCATATCTAAACATACGGCCATGGGGCATAACCTATGGCTCCATTTTGGGGTGGATGAACTTTGCCACCTATTTTGATGTTCACCAGGGGTACAGGCTTTTGACCCACAGCCATATCTCATAGAGAGAGAGAGAGGGAGACAAAGTTCGGGGCATGCGGAACAAAAATGCGCCGAACGGAGGGCTGTGAGTCACAATCAAACCTGGTACAAAAATGGTGAACCCAGAACCACGTAAAGAATAACGGCGGATATCCGCAACGATTTTCGACTGGGACTGCGATTTTCGACTGGGACTGCCCCGTCGAACCTTCATCTACCCGAATCGGTTTTGAGCACGTGGCTGTGACCCTGACACGGCCCTCGGGCCTCAGGGCATCTGGGGCAAGGGAGGCTGCCTGCCAAGGTCTCAGATGGAAAAGCGAAATCCTCGGCACCGTTCAGAAAGCCTGGTTTCTGTTGATTCTATCAATATTCCGTTCGCCCACAAATGACCATGGGAAACTTTTGCAAGTTTAGTGGTTGCACTATCATCTCTTTTTGGTGGTTTCCCAAGCAATGGTCATCCCATGTATCACGGACCTTTTGATCCACCCCCAAATCAAAAGTTGACCGATTTACGGTCTTCGCCACTTTTGGAGGTTCCCTGAAAAGAAAGCCATACTGTGGATGGTTGCGAAATCCATTTCGCAGCACCGTTCAGAAAGCCTGGTTTCTGTTGATTCCCCAACGTAAATACCAACCAATGTGTTGGCTTCAGCCATGGTTTCCAAGTGGTGCAAAACAGATTTCGCCACCATCCACGGTATCAGTGGCTTCTTCGTGGGGCACAGTTCGGTTCCGCCTCTGCAGCATGCAGCACATGCCCCAAGCCCCTACTTACATCTGAAAGCCAAGGGTGGAGACAAGTTGCTGCCGTCTTTTGCACCGATGTCAAAGTGATCCAGCAGTGATGCAAGCAATGCCAAGTCTTTTTCTTGCTTGCAGTGTCAAGCAGCACAAGCATCATATGATGCAATCTGCAGTCCAGAACTGGAAGCAGGTGCGTGAGACCAGCGAAGGACCTACGCAGCTTCGTCTTCCTCCTCCTCAAGCAGTACCGCTCACCATGTTTGCAAATTGTTCTGCAACACTCGCTGAGCTTGGTGCCTTGGCAAGCTCCTCTTCCTTGACAACAGCTCAAGCAACACAAAAGCGTGCGGCAGAAGCCAAAGAGTGCGACACGTGTTGCTCAAGAGAATGACACACCTAAAGAAGCTCAAGCTAATGACACATCTTATATTTTCATATCATTGCGCAAGCGTTGCATTCCCTTGCGACCAGTGTCTGCAGCGATCCACCAGCTGTCGCCCGTCTCGATGGCTGGCAGTGGTGCATGCTTTGCTCTACCAAAGCCAATACCTAGGCCAATGCAACAAGTTCTCCAAAAAACACATCTGCAGACCCTCGTGTGCGTGAATATGGGAATATAGCTCTGCAGCCGAGTCACGTTTGCTTTCTGCATCATAAACCGTGTAAAACTTCCTCGCGGAAAAAAAAGGGAGTGCGAAAAAATGCTGCGAGTCAGAAACCATGGTGTGGCGGTCTTGAGAACCGGCTCGCCCAGGATAAAGAGCTTGGGCCCGATGGGCTCTGGCCTTGCAAAGGGTCAAAAAATGCCATTTGTTATGCGATTTACTCAGTGGATGTCTAAAGCGTAATTTGTTTTGCGATTGGAAGCGATTTACGGATATCTGTGTCTTGAGCTGCCAGCAAATCCATCACCATCAGCATGGGCTTGCAGATCATATCCCTCCGGATGTTGTCCTCATTTAACCACCAGAAAAACGAAGGTTTTGGTCCATGTTTCCACTTACCAGGGTTCGATTTTGACCCACGGCCATTTTTCAAGCTCCACCCA